GAAGGCTACCTCCTTAGTAGTAAAGGTGCATTTAGAAGGCTTGTAATATAGTCTATAGACTCGCAGGCGATCGAGCACCTTGCGGACTATAGCCTAGTGCTCCGTAATGTTAGGTAAGTGTGTGTAAACTAGGATGTCATCTAGGTAAACTATATAGAGATAGTCTAATAGGCCCGAAAGGGCCCGATTAATATAGGACTAGAATGTTGTAGGGGCGTTAGCTAAGCCGAATAGCATAACTAAGTACTCGAAATAGCTATAGCGAGTACGGAAGGCTGTTTTCTATTCGTTACCCTTACGAATACGGATGCGATAGTATATATCCTTAATGTCTAATGTAGTATAGTAGTAAGTACTAGAAAGGCGATCGAGGGTCTTATTAATAAGAGGAAGTGGACAGCGGTCTTTAATAGTAATAGCGTTAAGCGTACGATAATTAATATATAGGCGTAGGCTACTATCCTTCTTTAGTACGAATAGGATAGGGGCGCTAGTAGGGCTGTTACTATACCGAATGCGACTATTAGCTAGGTTTTCCTCTAGGTACTTACGTAATATAGCAAGCTCTCGTTTACTAAGGTTATAGAGGGGTCTAAAAGGAACCTCCTTGCCCTCTATAATATTAATCTTATAATCCGTCTCTTTGAATATAGGCAATGTCGATGCTAAGTGGTATTTAAATACATTAATATAGGTTTCTCGAATAGGCTCCGGTATACGAGTAAGCTAATTAGGGTCTATGCTATTAGGGGGCATAGGCTTATCGTTATCTCTACCGAGAAGATTAGCTGTCGGATTAGCTAAGGCGGAGGCCGGTATTAGGTTGCTAATAAACAGGACCCTAATATCGTTAGGGCACTCGCTAACATTAATGTGTTTAATGTCCTCTTTCCGAGCGATTCTAAATCGCTACTTCTAAATGCCTAAGTCTATAGCTATAGCGTAGTACTTAAGAACAGGGTTGCTAATAACAATAGTAGCTCCCCTATATAGGTTGTCTATATCTACTACGTAGGCAGTAAAGTCTAGTAGGCGTTCATTTCCGAGGTCGTCCTTTAGAGCTATAGGAATATAGTAGGCCCTATAGGTTAAGTGCCGAGCGTTATTAAACTAAGCAAGGGTTGGCAGGTTAGTCTTCGGCAGTTGTCGAAGGTCTAATTGCTTAGCTAGGCGATGGCTAATAAGGGCACTAACTAAATTTCCTAGATCTAGTATAACCTTAGTTTAATAGGTAGTACCCTTCGTGTCCTATACAAGGTAGGAGCGTATTATAGCTAGCACAATGTCGATAGTCTTACGCCGTATAAGGCTAACAGTTAGTGCGGCGCTTACTCTTTTTTCGAAGGTTGGCCTATAGGGGTAGCGTTAGCTACTAAAAGGTGTTTCCTATACTTAGCGGAAGCACGGTTAATTCGGGCCTAGTCCTTAGGTTTGTCGCATTAGCCTAGTAGATAGCTAGTGCTATTACAGTTAAAGTACTTTAATCCGGTTGGTAGACTGCTGTAGCTGTTATTGCTATTGTTAGCCGAGCGGTTAGTATTGTAGGGATACGAGCCCCTTCTACGGCCCCTATCGCGGCCTCCTCTATATAGCCGGCGGCTACGGCCTCTTCTACGGTTATTGTTACTGTTCCTATTGTTAGCATTGTTGTTATAGTAGGAACCTTAGTTTCCTCCGCGGCTACGGTTGCTACGGTTAGTACTAGCTAGTCGGATCCTCGATTCTAGTCGTTATTAGAGCTAAACAGCCCGTTCGGCTGTTTCTACTTCGACTATGAATTAAATGCGTATAAGATTGGTCTGTTCAAACACACGGCGGCGGTCTAACTTAAGGACTAATTCCTATCTCAATTTAGGGCGTATTTCGGAGATCTAGATAGAATTAGTTTTAGTCGGGAGGTCGTCTTCGAGAGTCTTTAAATAGGCCTTAAATAAGCGAGCTGTCTAATTAGTCTTTTGCTTGGCCCGAAGGTACTAGTCCTAAGCGTGTTGTTGCCTTAGTATAGGGTTTCTAAGAGTGTCTAGCATAATAGTCTTATAGGTTTTCTACTAAACAGTAGTCTAATTATTAAGGGAATCGAAATGGTCGTCCTAGGTGCGCTTTAGGTTACTATTAATGTACTATATAGCGTGAACAACTAAGGAATAGTCGTCTAGAAGAGCCCTTAGTGCATTTCGCTAGTTAAGCTTACAATTACGTATGTGATTATTATATTGCTTGCGACTAGAGCTATCGAACACGGTGCAGTCCTTAAGTTTAGCATCCTTCTTCTAGACTAGGACTGATAGTAAGAAAGGCCCTACTATCGGCTTAGTGTTAGTTGTTAGGGCCTCCTAAAGGCGGCGAATTTCGAGGAGGTTGTCCTTTAGCTATTGTTCTTAACGTAGGGCAGTAAGCCTGTTTTAGGTGGCTTCTTAGAGTCTCCCTACTAGTTAGGGGCTAAAGGCTAGCTAGCTATATCGTCGATTAACAATGTTGTTAAGAATGTCGTCGACAGGCAATTCTAGGTCGTTACCTAGAATTATAGGTTCTTCTTTAATAGGCTCTCCGGCAGGCTCTTTAGTAGGAGGCACTTTAGCAGGCACTTTAGCGGGGACTATGCTACTAGCGTTGTTATTGCTAGCGCTGCTAGTAGCAGTACGGTTATTGTTGCTTCGTAATAAGCCGGCTATTATAATAGGGGGTAACACTAATAATGTATTGTTAGCCCCTAAGATACGGATATAGCGGAATTAGTAGATATTAGTCTAGTACGATTAACTTAGTATAATAGGCCGTATAGAAGGCCTTGCTCGATGATTGGTACGGTTGTTTCGATAGGATAGTACGTATAGGTCCCGTTCTTCGGGCGCAATATAGTTAGATTAGTCTTGCTCGTAGCTATACCGCTAAAAGCTTAAAATAAGGACTATCTAGCTGCTGCCCTTAAAGGGTAGATCGAATACTATGTAAGAAGGGTTATGTTAGCAGGTAGATAGGGTAGTAGTAAATCAGTATAGTATTCGATAGAGATCTAAGAGGAGAGGGAGGAAGGTAGGCTAGTTAGCCTAACGCTAAGCGCTAAGTCCTACCTAAGGCATCGAGACCCTAGCTTTACTCGAGCCCGGTTACATACTAATCACGTATAACCTCTTTAGTCCTAACAGATACCTAGTAACTCGTAATCGAAGGTTACGAAGAAGACGCCGTTGCCTTAGTATAAACACCTTAATTAAGAGACCTTCGAGGCTACTTTAAGGAGGCAGTAGAAACGCTAAATCTAAAATATTAGCGTATAGTAGACGACCCTACTATTAACGCTTCTATAAAGGACTTATTCTACGCCTTCTACGTACGGAAGGTTAAGGACTTCTCGGACAGTTGCTACGTACTAAATGTTAACTATTTTATCGCTAATCTATAGGAAGTCCTATTTATAGGCGAGACCGAGCGATAGTAGACGACTTAACTACCTTCTAAACTAGCGACACTAACTCTAGCGATACTAACTCTAGCGACACTAACTCGTACTCGATTGCTACTAACTATACTAGAAACGCACTATGTCTATACTAATATAATACTACGACTGTTACCTTTAAAACAGCGCGTTTAATCGTTACCTATTCGCTAACCTATATTCTTATTACTACCTCCGCTAGGTAACCTTACTCTAAGGCTAATTCCGCGCCTACCGCCGCCCTCCTTCGACACGCCGCGCCGCGAGACAACGCTAGAAATACAGTCCTTATAACCGCTCGATTTAGACGATATAGAAAAGGTAGATTTAATAGGAGATATAGAACCGCCGCCGCTAGTGCGAGGTCTACCTGCGCCGCTAGGTACTTGCTATTTAACTAACTACTAGTATTAGGGTAAGCTATTATAGCTTTATATATACGGTATTCGCGAGATTAACGGCATTACTATAAACAACTGCTACTTTATAGATTCTAGCCTCTCGTCCTTTAATAAGCTTCTTATCTTCTATAACGTAGACTAGCATACTATAGATAGGACAATAAGCTACATCCGAGACGAGGATTACGAACGAGCGAATAGGCGACTAAATAGATAGATAATAAACGACTCGGAAGACGACGCCGCTAATAACTTGCCTAGCGACGAGCGAGTTAGACGAGAGATAAGAGGTTTAAGAACATATAGTAACCGCTAGTTAACCGCTAGTAAGCTAGCAATACGTACGAGACTACGTACTAAGTAATAACGAGGTCGAAGAGATAGCTATTAGCGTAGACAAGCCTTCCGCTATAGTCGTAGAAGGCGGTAAAGGTAATAATAGTATTCTATAGCAATAGTGTGTATTTAATCTTAGTCTGTGTATTAGTCTATAATAGTCTCTTCTACTGCAAAAGCGCCGCTTCTATAATAGTTAAATAGCCGCTTTAGTAGTAGTTAACCGATAGGCTCGAGAGAGGCGCCCTTCTTAACCTAATCCGTTACTACGCCGAGTAGTTCCAAACAGCACTAAACTAGAGGATTGCGGGTAGCTTATTGCCTAGTAAACGCTAGTAAAAGACTGTGCCCCTAACTCCGCTCTAGGTTTAGCTAAAACTCCTAACATCCAAGAGTAACCACACATCATCTCAGGTTTGGATCACCGGTGATGTGACACTTACGACAGAGTATAAAATCATACATCGACTACCGTCAAACGAACGCTAGCTATACTTCCAAGCGAAACGGCTTCAGACTCCTGTCATGGATGTATTTAGACCTCTCCAAGCGCCGGCCAGTTGTCGACGCGCCTACGATATCTTTGCTAGTGCACGATGCATATCTCTATCTCTCGACCACAAGATTTCCAAGCGCCCATGCAGTCATGCGGCGTAATGCCCCATAACAGCCTTGTTGAAACAGCAAGCGCTATATCTGGCTGAGTCGATCTATACTTATCTCACCTGAGCTCCTCTTGGTAGTAAGTATATGTATGTGTCCACAGCTCAGCTCATCGTTATCAATTTGTAGTATACTTACATTCGCGCTTCATCGTATTCATCATGACATTATTCTCCTTCAAGAGTTCCAAGGCCCTTAGCAAGTCAACCAAGCCTGCACCGTCAGCACCCAGCACAGCAACGGCGAATGGCCTGCCGCCGTCGGCAGCAAGCGATGTTTATGCAGACATTCCTGCGCAAAGTCTGCGATACTGGCCATTGGAAGCATCAAAACGGGAAATACGTGTGCTGCAAGTCCACAGGGGCTGGAAATCCGATCCAATGATTTGCAAGCTCTATCCTGTCTCATTGCTGGACGAGCCGCGGCCTATGTACGAGACTGTATCTTACTGCTGGGGAGATACATCAAGTACGACACCTGTCAAGATAGAGGTGAACGGCGTCGTGGTCGCGATCAACGCAAGTGCTGCGGACGCCATTCATCGTATCAGAACGCCACTCACAGACAGGTGGATATGGATCGACGCAATCTGCATAAACCAGAACGATAAGGATGAGCGCAACCATCAGGTAGCACTTATGGCGAAAATATACAAAGGAGCTTTCAAAAACGTGGTCTGGCTAGGGAACGACGACGAAGACTTTGGCGAGTACATCAATCAAGAGATGAATCGCGCTCTCGCAGATTTTCGCAGCCATAGCAGAGCATTCGTGGACATATATACCATGACGCATGACAACATGGAGCTGAAAAGGGATGGCACAGTCGCTGATCGAAATATCGACTTCAAAGCGCTGGCTTATCTGTTTGACAGCCCATGGTTTGGCCGCCTTTGGGTAGGCATGACTCCTTGGAACTACTCAATTTTGCAGGGCTAATCTCGGCTCACAGATCGCGCAAGAAGTCGCTCTTGCTCGGAACAGTATATGTTACTTCGGACGGATGACCTTTCAGCTCAGAGACATCTTGAAAGTCGCATTATGGATGGTCTACAACTCGCAATGTCTATTTACGGGAGTATCAGAAAGCGTTGGTGTGCACAATGCCGTGACGCTTTGGCACCTCGTAGATCGGAGCTGCATGCCCAAAGAAAAGTCCATCGCTCTAACGAGCTCGCTTTACAGTTTGCACCGTTACTTGCGGGAGTTCCAGGCCACAGAACCTCGCGATTACGTGTACGCAATGCTGGGATTGCTGGTAATGACTCCCAAGGACCGGGAGTTACATCGAGCGGCATTGGAGATCGACTACACCAAACCTGTAGAGGCTGTATTCCGCGATGCGACAAGAGCTTTCATCGAAACGACGAGGACGCCGGATGTCTTGCACGGCCGGACTCTGGAATCGAATGAATCGGAATATTTCACGCCATCATGGTCTCTTGATCTTCGTTCAAAGATAGATGACCAATCTGTGCCTACTGAATTCTACGGAGATTATAAAGCTTGCCACCAACTTCTGATGAGCCCGAACACTTTCAATGGCGAGCAAGATCCGAATGTGTTGTCGCTTAAAGGCTTTGATGTCGATGAAGTCGGTGGGATGACGGACGTCTTTAACATAGAAGACGACCAGCAGTTTCTCAACACATTGCGCCAAGTTGTGGGTCTGTGGCGCAAAAGTCCACAGGCACAAAGAGATGGTCGCAACACCCAGCTAGCTCGAACGCTCATAGCCGATGCGAATTGGCTTGGAGACCGCGCAAACACTGGGAACATCGAAGAATACGAATCATTCCAGAATTACGTCGCGAAGCATCGGAAACTTCCACCAACTCGCCTCGAGCAGGCGCTCTCGGATTACGATCAGAAGACACAAGAGGCTATTCGATTTTTCACATGTGCTGCTCGAGCCTGTCACAGACGCCGATTCTTTCTTACGAAATCTGGACTTTTCGGTCTGGGACCCGCTACGCTTTTGAGTCAAGATCGTGTTGTCATATTCTATGGTGGAACGACACCCTTTGCGATTCGAGCTCTCGGCAATGGCAAGCATGTGTACGTTGGAACTTGCTACGTCTTCGGGATCATGGACGGAGAAGCAGTAAGAGACTACAGAGCTGCAGAACGGCATCATGAACGATTTGAATTGGTGTAAAGCGATTTTGAAGTTTGGAAGAGATGTTTTGCTTCTACTATCTCAGGAGCTACAGCGCGTATATAATTGTACAATAGCGAGCACAGCATTTGCGCAGTAGAGGAGATCAACGATTCGTAGATGGATCTTCGGGAAGCAGTAAAACCAGTGCGATCACGACCTGTCTATTGTCTCGGGGTCACATTCACCTGGGACAAAGCTAGAAAGTCACAGTCCATTTGGCCCGTTGTGATATTGTACTGTACGAGGAGAAGAGACGTCCGTCCATGATAAGCGCCCACGGTTCTCCCTACGGATGCTGTTGCTTCTCGGCTCGGCTTCGCTCCTGCACAACGGCAGCACCCGTCCAGCCAGGCACATTTCGAAGCGCCGGCTTCTCCCAATCACATTCTTCATCCACCTCTCGACACCGCATCCCCAGCAGATGGTCTGCAGCCAGGCCGTGATGGCAGCTGTGCTGGCTTATACATAGCGAGGGTCCCAGCTGTGACCTCGCTAGCCGATAGAGTAAGTTGCTGCTCAACCTTTCCTACATCCTGTCACCCTAGAACTGTATGCTGGAGTCAAAAGGCCGTCTTTCGACCATTTCATTGACCCAAGATGCGGAGAGGCGGTGCCATATACCTCAGCTTCACAGCTCTCGTCCTCCTGTCTGCAGCATCCGGAGCGAGCGCGGGACTTTGGGACGTCGATATCGACCTCGATCCAGCACCAGCGCCAGATAAAGGTCCACCGTTTTCAGCACATGCAGTGCGAGACCGCTCACAGCTCCCCTACGAGCTCGCGGGCATCTTAGGCGCATACTTTGGATTCACATTGATTCTTGGAACTCTTCTTCTCACAGTTGGGAGAAGACTGCGAAAACAAGCGCAAGCGATGGCCGAGAAACCCACAGAGATGATGACACCGTCGCACAAGGCCTACGACAGGTCGCCAATAAGTCCGGGACAGAGCAGCCTCTTCGAAAGAATGATGAAAAGAAAGGACAAGAACAAACATGGGTCGCCGGGCATGGTCAGCGTGGCCAGCTTCGATCAGAATGTCGTTCAGCGCGACAGACAACGGCAACAGGCCGACCTTGCAAACATCTATGCACATGTCTTGCGGGAAGATGAGCAAGGCCTGCCACCAAAGTACCCGGTCAATCGCACTGTGGACCAGCTTCGATCTGGGGAAGGGTACGTCGGGCCTCAGAGTCCCACCAGTCCCAAATCACCTGGGTTTGTCCCGGTGTACCCTAAAGACTATAAGGGACCTACATCACCGTATTACTACGAACAGCCACAGTCTCCGCTTCGTGCCAACCGCGACACAAGAACAGCCTCTTTTGGCAGCGATCAGACTAGCGGGACTTCAACATCTGGTCCAGGCAAGCTGCGCAAAGGCGTTCGAAAGCTGAAAGATCACGGACTCACAATCAGTGCACCATTAAGACGAGACGACAACAGCGATGGTGCAAGAACGCCCCTATCTCCTCGCACATATACGGATCCAGGAGTTCCGCCAGAGCCACCGACGGCTGGTACCACGAACAGCCAATACCCGCCAACAACTCCGGGTACAGCCAGAACATTTGAGTCTGATACGCTCCCAGCTCCACGCGAACCACCTTCGGCTTACCCACAGCAGCACGATCCGTCGAGAAATGAAGCGAAAGTCCCAGCTATAAGCACATCTGGCGAAATGATCATGCCTGCGCCGCCTAAGAGGACGACCAACTCTCCGGTTTCAGGCACGAATAATCCGCTCCCACTCCGTGCTATGAATGATCAGCTCAAGCAGCAGCAATCGCAGCAAGACGTTTACAGGAAGGCATTCCCTCTTTCGCCTGCGGCAATGAGATCTCCGAATTCTGCGGACATGAGATCGCCAACATCTGCGGCCCTTCGGTCTCCGACAGCGGCCATGGCCGGATCAATGCAGTCTCCCGGCGCTCTTTTATCTCCCCCAGGCATGAAGTCTCCTGCGATCGTTCGCCAGGAGATTGAGTACGGATCGACACCGTGGAGAGGGGCCCCGGGTACTGCTGGCCCCAAGACACCTTACAGTCCATACATGAGAGAAGCCCTTTTGACGCCCATCTTGACGCCGCATTTGACCACCAGGGCAGAGCGAAAGCAGAGGGAAAAGGAAGAGAAGACATTCAGGGGCGCTATCACTGCAGAAGATCAGGTCGTTGACGATAAGAACATGTGGGATGATGCTTATTGAGAGGATGTTTCACTTCTCACCTCTTTCTATAGCTCACATATTTACTGAAATCTATGCAGACGTCTTTCTATGCACTGCAATCATCTCAAAGAGGCCATACAAAACGTCCTTGTCTTCTCATTAAATCCAGCGCTGGGTCAAGAACCGGACTTGGTATAAAGATAAAGGGAAAGCGAGTCCCTGAAAGTGAAAAGCATCTCCTCTAGAGCACTTGACGCGGCGAGCGGTCTTGCGCACGGACTTGCGTTCACATGCGAAGCAGGATCAACATCAATTCTTCTCAAGCCACGCTACACAAACCTCCTGACATACAGCCTCGACTTTCCTGCACTCTCCAGGACCATTCGTCGCATACCACAAGAGTCTTCCAAGATCATCAACGCACATAAAAGCAATCCAAATCGCCACAATCCCTCAAAACGGTCAGAAGAATCTTGCGCGCTTTCAAATTCTCAACGCTACATACATATCGCAAGGTATACTCACAATAGCTAACATTATCAATATCGAGGCCGCCTCGGCCACCGCTAAGCATCCATCCTCAGAATAAATCGGCAACACGAAGGAACAAGTGTACTCTCACAATCACAAAAGCTTTCTACAGCTGACTCAACCGCCTCACCAGATTCTTCGACACCAGTACCTTCTCCGATGTCACATTTACCTGTGGCGAGAAAGAGTTAACGCATACACCTATCTGTCGCCGATACCACAGGTGGCAGAAAACTGCTTCCATATGATCACAATCTGGTCTTTCAGAGAAATCCTCTGTGCAGCGCCACTTTCGCCTTCAACTGGCGACGCTCCATCTTCCTTCGACAGATACTTGATCGTGTGGTACTTTAAGCTTGGCACCTTTTCTGGAAGAATGTGACAAAAGTCTCGACGTACACGCTCTAAACGAACCTGGCCAATACTCAAAGACAAGTCCCCGCAAGCATGCATCTGGTGCCGTCTCCAAGTCTGCTGCTCGCGAAGATACTCAAACGTACTGCTGCCACCATCGCGGGCCTCGGTGTCGATATGCAGGTGGTTGATGTGGTCCAGATCGATCCTTCGCAGAGACGTATGGAGTTTCGCGAATTTTGGAGTATGCCTGTCGATCCAAAACGAGCTTTGTGTCCAATAAAGGCGGTACGCTGCAATGTACAGGGGCTTCGATTCCACGTAGAGCTGATGACATGTCCAAAGCAATGTACTCTGAGGAGCTTCGGAACTGAGCAGATCAACCTGATCCGCGAGCAGCTGTATGCAGGTCTCTGTCGCCGGCGGAACGACGGACGGCAGAAAGACGAACTCCAGTATGGCGATTCTAAGCTCTGCCTCCAGTCGAAGTAATTTGCTCCAGCCGTGTGCCATCGTGCAATTGGGAATAATGGTGCATGGCATGAGAGTTGCAAGAGCTGGGGCTTAAGAAATACAGGCGTTGAGCTCTCGACCGGTGAGCTCTCCAATTGGGGCCAGAACAGGAGAAATGGGGCCAAGGCAATGACTTGGTCACACGTCCCAACATCCCTCCAATCGTTGTTGATCATTGCTGCTGCTACCTAGCTACTTGAAAGGAATTACAAGCCCTTCGCACAATGTGGTGATTTTGATCGAGCTGCAACTGCTAAACCTCGACACTCCCTCGATTGAACTCGTTTCTCGGCATGACTAGTTTCTATGTCTCAAGTCAAGGATCAGTTAGTTGATGGAGGTAGTCAGTGACTGCGATGCAGTACTTACCGTTTTGGAGTCTCCTTCGGTTCTTGCAAGTTTACATCGTTGCGTGCAGTTGTTGCAACAGATCCGTGCTTCGTACTATCTTCTCCGAGGGGAAGCACAGTGCCCGCGTTAGGGGCCACTAATCTGGCAAACCATGACTTCCATGGCTGCGCCAGACCTTTCTGGTTGTCTTCTGAAGGCATGTTGATATACTGAAAGGTGTTTTGAGCAGCGGACCTCTCCACCCAGTCGAAACCGTCTTCTGTATCTGAACACACAAACTGCTCGTGGGCTCGCAAGGGCCCTCCCGCGGCCGTGCATGACGCTAGAGACACCCCGATGCACACGCCGCAAGCCCTACCTCTATTTAGGCTTGTAGGAGGAAGAATTACGTTATATCGACTTTCATTAACATTTAATAGGACTTTTACGACACTTTAATAATATATAACTAATTCTTCGCCTCTAAGCCTAAAAACAAACTAGGCTAAACTAGTAGGTAGTATATAGCTATTTACTCTCGGAGGCTATAACTTACTATCTCTACGACGATATAATAATTTTAAGTAGCTAAGGTCTATCGCAATATATTTAGCTAGGCCCTCTAACTCTAAGATAGAATATAATAGAGGATTATTACCGCGTTCTATCCGCTACGAAGAAACGTAGATTACGATAAAAGTCTTAGTATTTACCTCCGAGGGTAAGATAGCAATAATACAAGACTACGACCTCCTTTCTAGCGTACGGAGGCCCTTTTTATTGCTATAAACTCGGATCTCCTAGTGTTTATTGTCCGTATATCTAGTATTAAAGGTCTTGTCTTACCCTCGAGGCTCGAGTAGAGGAAGCTATTAGATTTAAGCTAGGTTCTACGGACAACTAGCCTTAGTATATAGCAAATATAGCCTATAGTATCTAAATTAGCGATAGGCTTATATAAGAACAAATCTTCTTCTTATTATTACGTAGAACAGCTTTTTTAGATTTATCTATCTAATATATAGTTATACTTCTATAAATTCGAATTCTCGTTTATATACCGGACGGTTATATAGGAGCCGTACGGTTTTCTTTTAGGCGCTTCGCTATAGGCTTAGTATAGACCGCTAACTAGATACATATTAGTATAGATAATATAAGAACGAGCGAGAATAGAAACTAATATATATAGAAGGTAGAAGGTAGAAGGTAGAAGGTAGAAGGTAGAAGGTAGAAGGTAGAAGGTGTATATAAGCCTATAAAGCGGGGCGCCTAAATAGAGGTAGCGCAAGCCTCCTAGGCTAGCTCTACCTTAGGCTCTCGATAGAGTACGTATAGCTAGATTGATCTCGCTAGCTAATAGCTATTATCGTAGCTAAGTATAGTATTCGAGCTCGAGCTTAATATTACGCGTACCGATAGGGCGGTAATACGTATCGCTTAAACGCACTCTTCTTACGCGAAGCCCTACCTTTATAGCTATTAAATACTAAATATTTAAGATTTACTGCTCGTATTTAGATTTACTAATAAATGTTAGTAAATATTTATATTTAATTTATATTTAAATACAATCTTAGCGATAGTAAGGGCAGTAGTAACGCTTAGGGTTAAGAAGGAGGGTATTCTATAGCTATTTATATAACTCGTCGTTATCTTCCGCTTCTATACTTAGTTATAGTATATCTACTAGTAAATCCGCTACGCTAGTACGTTGCTATTACTTAGAACACTCGCTTATTCGGATACTATTGCTATTAAAAGAGGCTCGGTCCTATAGAACCCGGGCCGTACGTCTACTACTACTAAAGGTACGCTCGGACTCTATAGATATAGCGAAGGCGGATAATAAGTCGATAGCTAGTTACGAGAGCGTTAGATAGGCCGTCCGTTGCATAGGCAGGCACTACTATTTAAGTAGACTTATATAGATTAGTTAGCTTGTCCGCTTGTCGATACTAACTTATAGTAGCTTAATAGGCGTAGCGGCAATAAAGGACTCGAATTAATTAATATTAGTCGTAAGCACGTCGTTCTTAAGCTCTTATTGCTACGCTATTATGTCCGTTAAATAACCTATAGCTTCTATAGCGGTAGCGGCTATAGAAGTAGACTCCTTAGAAGTAGGCTTATAGCGTGCTTAATATTCATTCTATAGGGCTCTTGCTCTTACTAGACCGTTAATAAGCTACTAGTCCTTCTTCTTGCTACTAGACTAACGCTTACAAAGCTATACCTTACGGCGAGTTAGATATAATAGTATTATAGTAACGTAGATGCCGCTATCGTCGATTAGACGATAGTATTTATTAAACAGTTGCTAAGAGACGTAAATAGCCTTTATTATAGCCTCTCGCTTAGTATGCTGCTTCTTAGCACGCTCGAAATAGGTAAGTAACTATTCTATAGTCTCTTAGAAGCAGTCGAAGGTAACGTTATAGCCCTATAAACGTTAAGTCGCTTCCTTAAATAGTATAAGGAATAGGCGTGTCTCTTTAAGAATAAGCTAGTCTACCTCGGTAAGCCGGTATTTATTAATCTATAGCATACTAATAAACAAGGCGTTAAGAATAGGCCTTGTTTAAAGGGCCTTCTCGATTATTAGTAACTAGCTATTCTAGCGAGTCTTACCTAGCGGCTTCGGACAGGTAGAGGGCAGCTTCGGCTATACCTTAGCTAATTCTTTAAAGGCGTTATAGAAGTCGTTCTCTCGCTATAGGACCTTAGTTAGCTAGTAGAGACGCTATAGTAGAGATTGCTTAGTAAAGCACTCCGCATTAAAATCTAACTACCTAGATATAGAGACCTTATCGCTATCGCTCTCGGCTTAGTTATTAAATAGCACTTGCCGTGCTTAGAGCGCTCTTTAATCGGCCAATTCTGCGACTTCTATAGACTTAGTAAACATAAAGGCTTATATAACAAGGTTAATAATATAGCCGAAGTAGCGTAGACGATCGGACGGCTCTACTTAGTCTAGTATATATAGCCCTTCTTATATATATAGAGCTTAATCGACTCGTAGAGGGTAGTATTATTAGCGGCATTATTAGCAGTTATCTAGCTAAGCTTATAAGCTATTAAGAAGGTCTTAAAGTACGAGATTAATAGCTAAGCAATAAAGTCGCTAGTATAAGAGCCTCGTTATAGCGGCGGCAGGTTAATAAGGACTTAAGTAAGCTTGCCGTGCTTGTTAATATACTAGTAGTTAATCGCTTAGAAGTGCTTATAGCCGTATTGCGCCTTCTATATATTAGTGCTAATATAGAGGCAACTAATAGCCTTAAGAAGCGCTATTTTAACCCTCTCTCGCTAGTTCTCGAAGTTGTACTATACTCGTACTATTATTAAAGTATATAACTTTAAAAGAGCCTTGTCTATATATAGATTAACTGCTAATATTATGTCTTTAAAGGCCTTAGAAACAAGGGAAGAATAAGCGATACTATATGCTATAGTATAGCGAGCTATTGCCTACCTAAATTTGTCTATATTAGCTTCCGCTATATTCCTTAGAATAGTAGCCGTACGCCTTGCCTCGTTGCCCTCGCTTACTGCCTATATTTTGTTAATATTAATACGGCCTTATAGCGGATCTTTTTCTAGATAGACAACAATACTATATACCTTAAGAAGGTAGTCTACTGCGTTGCTAGACACTAATTTCTATACCTTAGGACTATCTGCTAGATAGTGCTTACAGTAGAAGTATTTATAACCGTATCTATTGCGAGTAGGCTCGCTATCCTACAGATCTCGAGTATAAGACTATAATACTAGATCTATCTTATTCTTTATAAAGTATAGCTTCTTCTACTAAGCGAGTATCGGTAGTATAGGCCTTAGTACTAGTATTAGAGTTAGAAGGAAGGCTAAAGAAGGTATCGATTGCTAGGTATCTTAAAGCTCGTCTAGAGTCGGATTTAGTACTAATTCGTCTACGCTATCCGTACGCTTACGTTTCCGTAGTTTCTAGCTTTCCTATTCGAATTCTTAGGTATTTAGGAAACTTTCGAGCGCTCGTTAGGTCGGTATACGATTTTCTCGTATCTTTATTATAAGGAAGAAGGTAGTTAGGTTATAATTAGAAGCGATAGATTTAAAAATTTAACTTTAGAGGCTAAGTGCGGCCCGCTTTCGGTTAAGCTATCCGAAAGCTAAGAATGTAGGTTAGCGAGTCTAATTAGGCTTAGCGTAATACTTATAACGCAAACTCGAGGCAGATACGGAAACTAGAATACTAAAGACCTTCGACTAATTATCTACCTAATTAATAACAACAACCTTACTACCGCCGCTCGCGGCCTCGCTATCGATTAATCGGTATAGTACCCTATTAATTCGACGCCTAAAGTATATCTGCCGCTACGAGTACTACGATTTTAGCCCCTAACTATACTTAGGCTCGAATAAGTAGAAGTATAGTTTCTTACTAAATTCGAAGTAACGACGAGAACCGAGTAGAAGAATAGGCCTCCCTTTACGCTCTATACCCTTATAAACCTTTTAAAGGCTATTAGCGATACGCTCTTAATAGATAGCAGCCCTTTTAATAATCTCCGCCGCGTAGATAAGGCTCTTTGTTATCTTCCTCGTAATCCTTTGAAAGGGTAACTATAAGCCCTCCCTTTCCGCCTTCCTAATATACTACTCGAAGTCTGCCTATTCTACGTACTCGATAAACGAAATATTGTTCGAATTAGCCTAGTAATCGTTTACCTAATTATTATTAATAAGAGGTAGATAGACCGAGCAGATATTCTTTAGCTATTATTAAAGCCTCTAGTCCTATAGAGCGAGGAAGGCTTATATCTCGGATAGAAAGCGGTAGATTAAAGAAGGTAGTAATAATTTAATAACCTCGTATTAAGAGGCCGTTAGCGACTCGGCAACCTGCTAGAATTAGCGACCTTCGTATGCCTTAGTTCTATCTACCTACCTCGAAGCGGTCTATCCTCCGAGCCTATAGAAAGAGCTTAGTTTTTAGTAAGAAATAAGCGATAAACAACCTAATTTCGCACGATTAAAGAGATCTACGTACGCCGTAGTACAACCGTCGAATTGCCGACTAAATCCACTAAATATTCGAATATTCAGTGACCTCGTATTCAGATTTATATTCAATATTGAATATGAATCTGAATTGAATCCGATTCAATATTCAACAGCTATGCCTGCCTTTGGCGCCGGAAACCCAGCTTCTAGCTGATGAGCGGCGTTCGCAGGAACGATGGAAACGACAGTCCTCTATCTGGCCCGAGACCCGGTCTTCGAGAAAGAACGAGCATTTGACACAGACTACCTGGCTGAGGACGTTGGCGACATTCGAAAGACGAACCATGTCTTCGACAGACAGCCGGTCGTAGTGCATAACATCGAAGATCCGACACACTGGGACATCGACACTCATGGCTTCTGTCTACTCAAGGCTACAACTCGTTTGGACCCCGATGCGGCGTTCAACAATAAAGAAGAGGTACAGAAGTCGTATTGGTATGACCTGGAAGCACTGCTCCATGAGAGATTTCCAGAATACACTCGGATAGAGAGTTTTGATTGCACAGTATCCGCCCCATGAAGACGCTCGCATCGAGATCGCAGCTAAGATAGACAGATCCGACAAAGAGACCCTAGTTTCCCAAAATCGACCACGATGTATGTAAATTATGAACAACCTGCGACGATACCGCACTGCGACTACTCGCAGCAAGGCTGCTATGATGCTATCGAAACAGCATTTCCGGGTCAGGACGCTTTTTGGAGGGACAAGGAGTTCGATGTGATCAAGTACAAAGCTCTTTGCCCAACCATGCTGAGCGGATTGTGCTAACGCGAAGTGTGTAGTGTGTGGAGGCCTCTGCGTGGACCGAATGACGACTGGCCACTGATCATGTGTGACTGGACATCCGTTGACTCTGAGAACGATATCCTGCTGAATGATGGTCTACGACGTTCCGGCGTGGTGACCAATTCACTGTTGCACATGAACTCAGCCCATAGATGGTACTTCATGAAAAGCCAAGGAATTGACGACCTCGTCGTGTTCCGCAATGCCGATACAACTGGCAAACGGGCTCGTAAGTCAAATGGGGTTCTTAACTACGATCATATACTAACACTGTAGTAGGCTGTTTCCACTGCTCCGCCTTCAACCCAGACGCAACGACTCTTCCTCGGCAAAGTGTTGAGGTCAGATTGGTGGCATTCCGCTAGAACAATAGCGACACAATGCGGCTTGGGGGCTGACGATATGAGATGTATTTTCAGTCATTCCGCAATGCCTCAATAGATCGCCATTTGACATATCCTCATGTGAAGCTCATCAGATTTGTATGACACTAGTTCACGAAGCGCCCATCGCCGAAGCTCTGTAGGTGTAACATGGTTCTCGGAGGGTTATCGATACTCACATTCGGTGCTGACAGCTTGAATAGAGATACCTTCTTCACCACGCAATGGCGTGCGATGGTGTGGTCATGCGAGAGATCGCTTGAACCAGACGACCTTGAGCAGACCAAAAAACGCACTACTTGGATGGAAGTCCAAGGTCATATAACCCAGATGACAGAGCAGCATACCACCACTTCCGAAGCGCACGAAATTGCACTTGTCATACCAACGTTGCACCACGTGCAAATGTTAACAGTCTTTTTTGAAAGCGAGATGGGTCCACCGCTGAAAGCCGAATTGTTATGGGGCGTACTCGGCCTCCTGTTGAGCGTAAGTAGCAAGTATGCTGCTCGAGGAGGCCTAACACTGACTTGGCTTGCAGCTCACTCTCGAAGACTCCAAAGCTCTCAATCAAATACCACGGATGATCAAGTCAATCGGCTATAAGGCCGAAGCATTCCATGAGCGTTCCAACACGCTACAGACGGTGCCCGATCATATGAAAGAAGCCTGTTTCGAAATGCATGTGCAGCTAATCAAATTCTTCACAAGTGCTGTCAAATGCATCCGTGGAGAACAAATTGGCTCACGCTATGGTGGGCCGAGTGTAAATGTGCAGACGTCACCTACTAACAGAATCTGCAGATCCCAGGAACGAGATAAACAATGACGATCAGTGGATAAATCTCGATAAGCAATACTCCAGCCTCAACCAAGAGCTCCTTGAGATTCTGACCCGCGTCGAGAAAGTGGCCGCAATTCGCTCGTCAACGCAAGCTGTGGGTCGCCTTTCTCTCGATGAGGATCAGCCGGCACCACGACGTACACAGTATGTAGTACTACCGCCATCTCGGCCACGCCGCTTCTTTGACCGAGTAGATGTCTTCGCCAAGATGGACCAGGTGCTGGGCGACGCTTCTTCCAGCTCATCCTCGACATTCCAATCTGTTGCATTACACGGCTTGGGTGGCACAGGAAAGAGCTCCATCGCGGCTCGATACGCGGAAACCAAAGTCGAAGCTAATGAGTACGATGCGGTCCTCTGGGCGCATGCAGAGAATAGAACTACTCTCAGGCAAAGCTTCACTGACATTGCCATGAGGCTGAGGCTTCCAGGAGCTCAGCCACAAGGACACGATGACAACCTTAGCTTGGTACAGACTTGGTTTCATTCTTCAGGTACGAACATGCAGAACTCTGGATCATCGATGTCACTCCAAAGCTCTACTGATCAGAGAATAGGCTCCAAATGGCTGATAATCTATGATAATGTTGAATCCTCCGAGACTCTGTTGCCATTCTGGCCAGAGACCAGCCACGGCAAAGCTGTGATCACGACTCGAAATTCTTCTCTTGCTTATGCATTTGTGACTTCTGGCATAGAAGTGAAAACGTGGGACGCCCAGACTGGATCGGAGTTTCTCTTATTCCTCCTCAAGCGCGACATTGGCAAAGATCTTCAGACCGAAGGCTTGTCTGCTTTCGAGCTTTCGCAAAAACTAAGCGGTCACGCTCTTGGCCTTTCACAAATGGCTGGCTTAATTCATCGCAGATCTTCATCGATTTCCGAGTTCTTAAACATGTATCTCAAGAATCCGAAACGCGCACATACTAGCGAGTTGCAGGCGCTCTGGGATCTCTCATTCAAGAGCTTAGATAACGACAGTGCCACGCTACTTGGCACACTCTGCTTCTTGACACCAGACGCTATACCACAATCCCTGTTCGAACTCGGGGACGGCAGTGATCTGCCAGAGGAGTTGGAATTCATCACCGACGAATTTGCGTAAGAAATATACTGCATGCACGTGACGTAGTGCTGATATTGCTTTTAGATTCATTGAAGCCGTGGAACCACTTCTTGAGATCGCTTTGGTCGCCCGGGACCGTGATACACGCACCTTTTCCATCCACAGGCTTGTGCAACGCCAATTCCGCTATCATTTAACGCCTGAAGCGCGGCAAAAAGCATTTCAGAACGCTGTTGCTTTGGTCTACAGTGCTTTCCCAAAGGAGGACGATAAGATAGGACAACTATTCGCTCAATGGCCGCAGTGCAATCTCTGCTTGCCTCATATAGTCGCGCTATCAGAGCGATTTCAAGAAGAACGTCGGGCAAGCAAGAACTTCCGAGCTGATGCCACTTTCTGCAAACTCCTGTCAGGCTGTGCAAGGTATCGCTGTGCCATACAAATCAAGCTTGCCTCCTCTGCTTCTCTGACATGTCATCTGCAGGTACCTCTGTGAAACCTATGACCTCCAGCTCTTGAGATCGCTTTGCAAGGTGAATGAGCTTGCCGTTGAATCTCTTGAGGCGAGTAACGAAACCTCTGATTTCCGAGCATCAATCCTTTCCTATCAGGCGAACATGTGCGAAAACATTGGAGATCCCAAGCAGTCAATCAGTCTCAACAAGCAGGCGTACGAGATACGCCTGCAAGAAGTTCCCAAACGCGAAGGCCTGATAAGCGGGTTTGAGAATAACCTGGGCCTTGCATACGGCAGTGCCAATGATCACGTTACTGCTAAGACATGGTTCGAGAAATCACGCGAACGCGACATTGCGTTCGCCAAAGAACGGAACGAGCCACTAACATGGGACACTAATACGAAAGTCAACCTGTCAAGATGTCTTATTTACCTCAACGAACCCTTGGAGGCCCAGGCCTTGCTTGACGAGGCTGTTACAGCACTCAAACGCACAGAGCCGCGCGAATGGGCAGTTTTGGCTTAGTAAGTGATGCATATGGCTCTCAGATAGAAGTTGCTAAACCTTGACGTGCAGCGCATTCTTCACACAAGGCGTTCTTCATCGAAGTCAAAAAAACTTCGAAGCTGCTGAAGCGAGCTCTATCGAGGCTCAGAATACGTGGTTCGAAGGCGACGAGACTAGATCTCATCGCTTTAACGGAGCTTGCATTTATAAAATTGGTGTCGTTTGTCTCGATCAAGGTAAGGTGGAGGCAGCGATGTAAGTTCTGGCCTCACCAGCTTGGGTTCAGTTTGCTGAATCGTGTGCAGTAAGCACCTACGTGAGTCCTTGGACGTCACCAAGTTCAACAAAGATCTCATGCCTGTCGAACACGCCAGGAGCCTGTTCAAGCTTTCAGAAGCTTTGACACAAGACAACCATGACGGAGGGGCTGAGGCCGAGCGTTTGCGTAACGAGGCGGAAGTCTTTCTGCGGAAGATGGATCCCGGTGCTTCGGCATTCGACACGGAATATGCTTACGATAGGCATGTTCCGCTGTACTGGCGTTGATCAGTCAACAACTTGCTGAAGTACCTGGTACGACACGAGCATCGACAATAGAGCAGCCTTCATCATAAGAGGATCGAGGATATAAGAAGACTTCTCTTCCTTCGGTGTCGAGATTACAAAAAGAGGACGGTCAGTTACGCGAGAGGCTCATGGAGCTGTTGAAAAACCAGCAAGCTTTCTAAACAGTCCATCAAGCGTCAGTGCGGCGCAGTCCAGTCTCTTATACATATCCGCCAAAATGTCCACCGTCGACTCAATCGCGCTGCGACCATATCGAGAGACGCTAGAACGCATTAGCATTTCTTCCCAGTGATGAGACACGGTGGTAGAGACAGGCCGGAGAAATTGCATCGGGTTGATCACCACTCGATGAAGTAGTCCTGTCTCTAGCACGGTCACCCATCCCAGAGTTGCGAGTTCCAGCGGAGCATGGCGCTATGGTCGCACATATTTGGGCTTTTGCTCGATAATCACGTCCAATACTTGCTCGACATCGTCGCCATCATACTCAAGCAGCGTGGACCATCTAAGCTCGTCGCCAGAATTGACTTGTTGCCCCATACACAAGTATAACGCTTCTCCGACCGGCCTTTTGCCGAGATTGTCACACAGACAAAGATGTTGCAGCTTTGCACAGCTACGCAATTGCTGCAACACTGGAAGCCAAGCATCATTGTTATGCAGCAGTACCACCGCTTGGAAGGTAGCGTGAGAACTATTTGGGGAGCATCGATGCACGATGTGAGCAAGATCGGTAGCTTGTAGTAGCACATCCTAAAGCTCAATAATTGAGAGTGATTCAAGGTAGGCCTTTTCCAACAGGCTTGGGACCAGTCGCGTGAATTGATCCGTAACTGAAAGACCCTCGGCCCCCGGCACTATAAGGCATAGGTGTTCCAGCCTCTTGCTTTCGGCTAGCAAAGGCTTGACAAAGCTGAATCTGCGAAGCGCGTCTTGCCCATCGGGTCCAAGCTGAGTCGTTAATATGGCGCCGAAGGAGAATTCGCGTAGATCCCTAGCGATGTGATCAATGACCGCGTGGAGTGGCGGTGCGTCACGCCCCTCCGCTTGATCATAGCTTGACATGTGGAATTCATCTGCGAGAACAAGCTCTGTACATTTGCAGTTGGCGCGTGTGGCGGCGTTCAGCAAGAATGTCGTTAGACCGAGATGGTCGATAGGAAGTCTTCCATACAGCGGATCTTCGCCTTCTCGCTCAAGCTTGACTTCAACCTTCGGCAGAGATACAATGCGGTCTAGTATGACATTGATTATATCCCAATAGACGGGCTGTTGGAACAGCACCATCGAGAGCTCAGCAGCATGACTGCTACGTGCTCTAGCAATCGCTGTCTGCAAATGGCGACTTGAAAGCAGAGCGACAGTGAGTTGATGACGGCGTCTCCCTGACAGACTGGTCGCTGTTGGAGTGTGTAGTTGAAAGGCTCGTCGTGTCGTCGTCTGATAATTTCCTCATACCCACCTTGCCGCTGGTCGTCTCTCACTGCAATGTCCAGCGATCTGGGGCGTCACTTGTTGCACCGTGGAAGTCCGGAGCTGCACGTCGCACAAGCTTAGTGCGGTCGATGCCGAGTTGATGCAGGTGTTACCTCAAGTACCGGACAGCCAGCGCCTTCTTTTTCAGCAAGCGCGGTTGCCGACTGAAGTGCTCAGAAAACAGCAAATGTGATGTGTGTCTCGGGAACGACGCACATGGCCAAGCAGCTCAGGTCGCACCAACGTCCATGTTGACTATTGCGGTATTCTTGGTGGGAAAGAGAAAGGGGGACAACGTGCAAGAGCGACTGCGAGAAACGGAAGTCACAGCGCACGAGCCAGCTCGCGCGTTCGTCAGCGCGGCAGCCGCCATCTTCCTGCAGGCCAGGTGAAGCCCTTGACTTGCAAGCTCTCGAACGGGGATATCATTCTCTCCCGTGGCGCCATCGTTATTATTATTCCACCCAACGCTGACCTTTCGACGGTCCATTGACAAGCTCTCATTGGTCCAACGGGCAGCTGCACATCTGAGACACGCATAGCTACAGCTTTTCCACGTCCCAAGCCGCTACCGCTGACTACTCAGATACATCTCTCTGCCCTTCAGGAGATTCGCTTGCTGTGCAATAATCGAGCCAGGGAGTAGTGGAAGCTGCTCTTAAAGCTGCGCTAGCCGCGCTGCTTCCTTCACCATGTCTATCAAGTAGGTACTCGTCCGTTCTCATTCGTTGTTCCTTGGCCGCCTCATGTCGAAGAGGCCAGACAAGCAGAGGAGCAAGATGACTTCGGTCCGCTCACAAGTTCGCAGCTGGGTCATGCTCTCGCCCGAAACGAACCCTCCTTATACCCCTCTACCGAACGAGCAGAACCTCTTCACATCCGCCGGCAGGATAGGCTTCGAGATCAAGACGCCAGCCCACTACCCAGGCAGACAACAGCCCTTCAAAGTCACACACAACGAAGGCACGCTCTACCTCTCGAATCAAAGACTCATATACCTTCCCAAGAAGCCGACAGACGACTTCAAGAGTTTTGCCTCACAGATCCTAAGCCTTCACGACAGCCATGTCTCCCTGCCTATGTTCTCAGCAAACACTTGGACGGCGCTTTGTCAGCCCGCGCAAGGCGGTGGCATACCCATGCCTCCTTCAGGCGTGGTCGAGCTGAAGTTCACGTTCAGAGATGGAGGAGCGCTTGACTTTCACCAACGGTACGAGCAGATTCGAGAAAGGATACAGCAAGTGCTGGAGGTGTCTGGTGATCGTCAAAGAGCAGGAACTGGAGCATTGAACACGGTCAACCTTTCAAACGTAAACCTCGAAGATCTGCCGGCGTATCGAGAAGAAAGCGACGGGCCGCTGATAGCTCCGACGGCTACAGCAGCACAGGCACAGGCTCAAGCGCGGAGTCCAGTCCTACAACAGCAGAGGGACAGCGGAGTGAGTCTGGATGAGAGCCGAAGACAGCCTCCAGCGGTGCCCGATGAGCCTCCGCCGGGATATGAGGAGGCGCAGATGGCGGGTGTGCAAGACAGGCTCAGCTCGCCGAGGCAGTGAGCAGTATTCGATATGATTTCAAGACTGTATTGGTACCAATCTGAATGAGCACTTAAGCGACGGAGCCACTATGATACCAGGGATTAGTAGGTAGGGCACAGCGATAGACATGGTTCAGGAAAAGAATGCAATGAATTGAGGTCGAGTTGCCTCTTTGGAGCGTCCATTGCCTTGTTGCCACTCTCTTCACTGTCATGATGTTCGTGAGTTGGCGGACATGGCGGCAAAACTTCCGGAGACCATGGTACAACGTGGCTGTTCGTATGGTTCCTACCTACCCATGCCACGTGCGGCAAGGTGTCGCCGAGTAGCTTGCGGCTGCACGATGATGACTTGGCCATGTGATGATGTGGACAGCGGACGATGCTGATGGATGACTTGAGACAGATATGTAAGGCAGAAGTAGGATCAAGAGCTCTGGTCTGTGGATAATGATCCAGTAGTAATAATGTATGGTAGCGCAGCGACAGAGCACTCCCGTCGATCCCTTCGAGGCTGGGAGATTGATCTGGGAGTGAGACCCTGCCCAAGGATCACAAGCGTTGTAGAGGTACCAGATACATTACCGATAGGGTAGATAATGTTCTTGACTGCATACATCCATCTCCATCGCATTTGTGTGTACCTGAATCAGGCTCTTCAAAGTGTTCGGAGTGGATCGCCCACGGCTGATGTGAAACTTGGCCTGCCCTCCGTCACAGCGCAGCATCGGCTCTGAGCCGCACGCGACCTTGAGACGAAAGCACCTGCTGTCAAGCAACGCTACTCTCCTACGCCTAGCCTACGAATAGTACACTCTGAACATACCGCCGACATATCAACTTCCCATACAGGCACGGCCGCGCAGACTCACGCATGATACCCCTCAACTCGCCCTGCGCGCGCTCATCTCTAATTGACTCGGACCTGCTGCAGCTGCGGACACGGGGATTCACATAAATCCGAATCCTCGACCATGTTCTGGCGCTTTGGCGGCTATGCCCAGGTCTCGAGCATCGACACGATCCTAGAGAAAGATGGCGTGCAGCTGGAGGAACTGCTGGACGAGAGCGACCTTATTCAGGAGCTGAAGCAGCAGAACAGCAAGCTGATCGAGTTTCTGCGCGATGAACCCATATTGAGGAAGCTACTTACATACGTGACTGCCGACTCCAAGCCTGAATCTGCAGCAGAGGTTGGCGCGAAGAAAGAAGACGAGAAGGACACTTCGAAAGACGACGAGAAAACTACCAGCGGCATCTCTTTCTTTGGGAAGGGCAAGGGCCGCTCACGGTCCACTTCTATCAAGAAAGATGGCGAAGGAGAGACTGAGCAAGAAAAGAAAGAGGCGCAGCGGAAGAAGTACGCATATGTTGCGTGCGAGGTGCTGAGCTCCGAGGTGTGGTCGATAACAGAAGCGCTTCTTGATCAGCGAGAGGCCTTGCGCGAGTTCTGGCAGTATATGCACCAGCCCGCACCTCTGGATCCTCTGATCGCCGGCTACTTCACCAAGGTGAACGAGGCACTTCTGGATAAGAAGACGGAAGAAATGCTCGCCTTCTTCAAATCGCTTGGCGGAATCGTGCCCGCCATGCTCCAACATGTCGACTGCCCCATGGTTATGGACCTGCTGCTAAAGATCATCAGTCTGGAGAAGCACGAAGGCGGACAGGGTATCGTGGACTGGTTACAATCGCAGAACTTGATTCCACTGCTGCTGGCCTACCTGTCGCCGGAACATAGCTCAGCAACTCAAACATCGGCTGGTGATTTCCTCAAGGCCATCATCACTATCAGCGCGAATGCTACTACCCAAGATCAGTCGGTCATCGGTCCAAATGAGCTCACACGACAACTTGTCTCTGAACCATGCATCAAACAACTTATCTCGGATATGCTCAAGGGCGGCAACCCCCTGACTGTCGGTGTCGGAATCGTCATAGAAGTCATCCGGAAGAACAACTCCGACTACGACCTAGATAACCAAGTCGGGCCAGAGCCAAAAACATCAGATCCGATTTATCTGGGCACCCTTTTGCGACAGTTCGCAGACAATGTGCCCAACTTTATGCGTCTCATACGTTCGTCATCCGCCAAGAAACCAGATCTCAAAGCTGCATTTGGCGGAAAGATTGAGCCACTCGGCTTTGATCGCTTCAAGACGTGCGAGTTGATGGCTGAGTTGCTGCATTGTAGCAACATGGGTCTGCTGAATGAGCGTGGCGCGGAGGAAGAAGTGACCAAGCGGGATGCTGAGCGCGAGCGTCTGAAAGCGGAAGGCAAGCTTGCAACTCCCAAGGCTCCTACAAGTCCGAGTCATGAGAACTCTCATGATGAGTTCGGAAGCTCCGTTGACTCGCATGGCTTCCATCACGCAGAACGGCCTAGCGACGACGAAATGGACGAGAAGCCCGTAGAGATTCGGAAGCTAGAGGTGCAAAACGCTTCAGATGAAGATGGGTTCGAGAAAGTCAATGCACCGGGAGATGAGATGCCTGAGGAAGTCACTTTTGACGATTTGACCGAGAAAATCGACAGCACCACGCACGGCGGTCTGCCACTGCTTGAGAAGGTCGAAAAGCGAGATCCATCCGATCCACAAAACCAATCACCAGTCAGCCCGAGCGCGATGCCACAGCCTTTGTCGCCGAAGAAGAACAACCTCAACTTCGATCCACCGCCGACACAAGCGGCAGATTCGCCAACTACAGCTGGTGTGACAGACAAGATCAACAGTCTAGATGTTGACGAAGACACCGTCATGTCCGAATTCGGCGAGGAGCCAATAGAAGAGGGTAAGCATACTTCGTTACTTACGCAGCAATTAGCGGCAGAAGCAAAGCATTCACTGAGCGTCAACACAGACGAAGGGCCATCTGAGCTGGAAAGAGCGCTAGCACGGCCAGAAGACAAACCTGCGCCACTCAACTTCTCTAAGAAAGAACCAGCACCGTCGCAAGACACTACGCAGGCTCCATCTCAGCACGAGAGCGAGTCGTCGCAAGACCTTGGTCAAAGCACGGCGACATTACAAGCACAAGAAGCGAGCTCGCTGCCCAACGGCGAGCGTCCGCCGTACGACACTGAAGCAGACGGAACTCCCGTCGTTGGCGATCTTCTCAAGATCCAATTCGTTGAGCACCAGGTCGTGCCTACCATTCTTGTAAGTCACCACCATTTTCAAATGCTACTGACCAAGTTCGCTCGCTTATGCGAACTTTACAGGACTTCTTTTTCCGATTCCCATGGAATAATTTTTTGCATAATGTGGTTTACGATGTTGTACAACAAGTTTTTAACGGCACGCTGGATCGAGGCTACAATCGCACGTTGGCATTCGATCTCTTCCACCCAATCGAGCGAAAGGATGGCCAGACAGTAGAGGAGATCGGTCTTGGCTCAGGCAAGGATATCACTGACCGAATACTGGACGGGCAAGCAGCATCGGACGAGTCACAGAAAAATAAAGGCATGCGGCTGGGGTACATGGGCCACTTAACACTAATCGCAGAGGAGGTCTGCAAGTTTGGCAGCCGACATCCTCCCGAGTCTCTCGATCACAGCGTGACAGAACGGGTCAGCAGAGAAGAGTGGATGCGATACGTGGAAGGCACGCTCGCAGAGACGAGAGATAAGGACAATGCAGTTCTCGGCGGCGTGCGACCAGAGAACGCGATCGGTGTTCGAGCGATGGGAGGCATGGGTGGTGGCGGTGGCCTATCTGGAGGTTTCACGTCGAACACTAACAGCACACTCGCCAATGCAGGACTTGGTAGTGGAAGCACACCGGCCGATACGTTGGCAATGCAAGACGGCACAGTCGGGCAGAGCTTCGAGATCAACTCCGGAACAATGCTGTCTGGATTTGGTGATGACGACGAGGATGAAGAGATGGATGAACGGAGAGCAGCATTCGCGGAAGACGAACAGGTCGGTGAACTCTCGTTTGATGTTGACATGGATTATCGATAACCCCCTTCACGCATCGCATCGCATCGCATCGCATCGCATCGCATCGCATCGCATCGCATCGCATCGCATCGCATCGCACCGCATCGCATTGCACCGCATCACCCCCTGCACTGTCTTGCATTCCTTGGGCATTAGGCACAGCACGCACCTACACTTCTACACTCCTACACTTGTACAAAAGGAGGATGGGGCATAGCGACTTCTATTACACGAGATACGACAAGAAAGCGAACGCATCGACTTGCTGCTGTACAACATACAACAGAGGATTTGCTTTTGGTGCCCGGCTGTACGATGCGACTCCTGCTTGGTGGCGCTCAGCTGTCTACGCCTCATTCTGTCTTGTACCACCCACACCCACACCCTCACCCTCACCCACACGCTCTGAAGATGAACGCAGACGCAAGACGCGCTTCCGGCACTCACATGCGCATCCGCTTGGAGTGCGGTTAGAAATCTCATCGGCCACCGAAGCTTGTTGTCTAACTAGGTTGGACCGCGGTCCGAGCCTTTTGGGAAATATGCTTTTTCGCTACCTTCCTTTGAAGATGAGGTCGCGCGACATCTGCTTGCGTGCTGCACCATCACTGATCATTCTCGTAACACTGCAAGGTGTCCGCGACACGATGTGGTCAGCACTCTATTGCCCTTGACCTGCTTCGGGACCTTGCTTGCCTGCTTGTTGCCTCGTTATCGCTTCTGCCCTCTTCTCCAGCCTCTCCCCTACCCCATCCACGCAATTACACTTCTCTTCCACCAATGGCACGAGGTACGGATGGGTCTCTGCGCCACAACACACTTCGGCTAACGTTTGCCTTGCAGAATGCTCAACTGTCTCCTGATGCCAACAAGTCCGGTGCATCTGTTGCACCTCTCAACATCCCACCTTCTCGAGCACGACGTACGCTCGCTGCAAGATTAGCCCAGAAGAATCAGAATGCCACCGACTCTGGAGATCCCGAGGCCGCCGACGCTGCTGCTGTCGAGACGGCAAGCATGCTACCTGACGATCCATCCGAGCTAGACCATCCTCGAGAGACTGATGGTAACGTTGACGATGAGGAAACTGGATTGCAGATCTTCGGCATGAGAACTCTAGGCGGAGGCGGAGCAGCACGTTCCGCAGGAAGTAAATTTTCCGGTCTCTTCTCAAGCAGCGACGACTCTTCCGACGAAGAAGAGGAAGAGGAAGATTCAGACGACCCCGATCACGACGGAGATGACGCCGGACGAGACGAAACTTTTCTCCGCCATGGAGGAGATCATGAGCCCGCCGTCGATCAGTTTTCCCGGAGGAGGACGAATCGTAGACCTTCCACTACTGAAGCTAAGGAACGTACGCCGCTTGACGATGACGATGAGGATCTGGAGTTGACGAGTTCGATTCAGAGGAAATTGGTTCTGGAGTCGGAGCCTCCGGGTATGGAGCTTGAGGATGAGGATGATGATAGTAGTGAGGATGAGTTGGTTGAGATTGCTAGGCCTAGGAGGACGAGTTAGGGACTTGGACTTTCCAGTGGTTGGGCGACGGGACTTCAGTGAGGTGGTGGGAGGGTGGGAGGGTGGGAAGGTGGAAGTGGCTTGTCACGAATAGTATGATGTGGATGTGTGCATTGCTTTTTTGGATGAAACGGAACTGAACGGTATGGTGAAGAGGAAGATCACGCATGGTCATTACTCATGCAACTACCTAGGATAGATGAATTGATTGTATCTTGCGGGAGGTGGCGTGGCGGGACAATGTTGCATTTTGTCGCATGATACCATTGAATCGAAGGGACCTGTGAATTTTGTGCGACTTTCTGCGGGTCTATCACTTTCGTCCAATTCTCTGAGATTAAATCAAACCTCAGCTGAGTGATCATCGTGATTTCTTCACCTTGTCACGTTGATTCTACGACCATGCCGAAATCACCAGAGTCAAGATGAATCCAGCGATCTGCCCAGGGAAACGACACCGTGAGTCCACATTCCGCAGTGCTCTCAGCAACCCGTCTCAGGTTCAATGATCATTAGGTATAGCTTTAAGCATATCAGGTACCAGTACCAACATCTATCGACCAAGAGTCGCACATATATATACATCCTCTCACGAAAAACTTCCCAAGAGACATATTTTCCCCCCAAGACCAACAATTCATTCATTCATTCATTCATCCCCCCCCCCTCCCCCCTTCTCTACATCTTCACAACCGAATCCTAACCCCCAACCCACCCCCCTCAAACCAAACTTTTTCCCTCCACCTCCCCAATTTCACCCCAACCTCGGCCTTCGCCTTCAATTTCAACGTCCCTCCCAACGCCTTCTTGACAGCCTCATACCCCACACTCCCCAAACTCCAATCCACAGGTAACCTCGGCGTGAGAAAACCTTGGTGGTCTGGAGTTTCCGCGACCGGAGGGACGGCGAAAGGGATGTCGTAGAAAATTTCGCCGACGTCGGAGGATTCGTAGATTGCGGTTGCGTTGAGGGAGGAGATTATGAGGGTGGAGTGGGTTAAGGGGGAGAATAACACGAAAGTGGCGGTGGAGGTTAGGAGGTGCATTGTTGCGTCTTTTATGAAGTTGTGAGCACCGCCGCCGCCGCCGCCGCCTTCTTCGGGATCTTGGTTTGGGGGTTGGGGGGAGAGGTTGGGGGCTTGGATTTCTAGGGGGAAGTGGCTTAGTACTCGACCGAGTTTGGGGTTTGATGGGAAGGTTTTTTCGTGGGTGCGGAAGGTGAGGGTTGTGTTCCAGCCGGATATGTATTGGGAGATGAGGTTTCGGCCGATTTCTTTGGCGGGTTTGCCGCCGGAGTCGAGAGGGGAGTAAATTGCTGTGACTTCTAGGAAGGAGTTGCGGCCGGTTGTGATGGTGAGGTTGTGGGCGGTGGCGTGGCCGAGGAGAGAGCCGTTTTTGAGGATGTGGATGTCGATGTAGGGAATCGAAGCGGAGTATGGGGTAGGGTTGGTCACGTTGACTTTCGCGTCGATGGTGAGAGATGTCTCCGTTGTGTTGCTGATATTGACATCCACGAGCTTAGGCTTTACGCCCCCGAGCAGATCTTTGCCGTTCTTTGGTGGGTGCTTTGGATCGTCGTCAGGCGGCGAAGGGTTGGGTCGTGAGATGGCTGTACCATTCTTAGCCTATCTACTCTATCTCATACAAGCGTCGTAACGTAGTCATAAATCAGACGTGGTGCTGCAACATAGGAGGGCGTAGTGTTAGGACCTACGCTTAATTGGCACCTGGCCATCAGCGGGTATCTTTCGAATCGCAAATTCCCCCAACGCCGTAGCAACGCCCACATCAACTTCAGCTTTGATAGTCATGATGACCGTCTTACCGCCAAACAGGAGTTCCTGGATGACATCTGTGAAGACGTTTTCGTCCTGGATTTCCAAAGGTGCATCTTTAACAAGGCTCTCCACCTCAAGCGTAGGGCCGTCTTCTTCAGATTCTGGTGGCACACGAGTGCTGTTTGCCGCTTGCCATTTATTCAGGTCAAGCCGACCAATCTTCTTACCCTTGTAGAAGACGTCTGCATCGGCCTTTACTTTGGCGACAGAGATGTTGAAGTTCATCTCTTCTGGTAGAGCAACCAGAGCACGAACTTTGGCGCTGATTCGTGGATTGGACTCAGGCGTGTCGGGTTCTGCCCACGGATCTGGCAAGCTGAACTGCGTATCGGTCAAAGAGAAATTCTTGATCAAATCTCCATACGTCCGTCCCGGTATGGGTACTGGCACTGTGATGTCCTTCATGAGGTCGGTGATCCATTCAGGAGTGTCTAGCGATGACGAGTCTGAGCCTTGCACGTAGACTGTGGTCGTCTTGCCGTGAATGTAATGTGCGATGAGGTTGTCAAGCGGCGACTCGCTTGTGCCTGGACAATCTTCCGTCAGGACAGATGGAAGTTGGCGAACCATGCCGGTGACGTTGACTTCCACGTCTTGCTTCGGGTGAATGTTCAATTCATGTGTCAATGCATCCGCCACCATGATGTAAGGGTCACTCTTCTCGCAGTTATCGACCAGTATTCCAAAGCCCAGCGGAGGAACAGCGAGGTCGACCGGATAATCATTATGCACTTGCAACGACACATCCGCTGCCATGCCAGTTCCACTTGGTATCTCCACTTCTCTCAGGTTCAGCTTCTGCAACTTGTATGCTGGTAGTGTCGGAGTGTCTTTGTTGTCGAAGAGCATTTCCTGCTTGACAATTTGCCTTCCGAGGCTGATCAAGCCACTCTTGATGGGTACGCTCGCCTTGCCAACCACTCGCAGCCGACCTAACCTTCCATCAATCCAATCATTTGCGATCCTTCTAATGCCATCTACATTTCCTGGCTCCAAGTCGGCAAGGAAATCGACCCCCGTGATGTGTTGATCTCGAAGGTAGACTTTGATGGGAGGCACATGAGCTGTACCCAGCAGCACGTTTCCGTATTCTGGCAGCGATACTCGCACATCGCTCTCTCCAGTTTCCGCCTCTCTCGCTATCCAAGTGCAGAACTTGCCCAGGTTGCGCACGTGCTGTTTTTCTACTCTTGACGAGTCCAGTTTGAAGGTTCCTTGCACTCTTGCTCGGACTCCAGTTGCGGTGAACGACTCGATCGATAGGCTGGTAGGCTCGAACACCACAGCTTGTGCGGCATACTGCTCCACGGCCGCCGGCGCGACAAATGCGAAAACGATGATCAGTGCTGCTAAGACACATAACAGCAGCAATGCGATCAAGCTGGGCCATCTGGGCTTGCCATTCTTGCCGAGGACGGATTTGAGGGAAGATGTAGCGGATTGTTCCCGATGCGGCTGACTCTGATCGTTATGTGTGAGATGTCGTGGCAGCAGTGGCGATGATTCTGTCGGTCCATCTTCGACGTCTCGGACATCGCTCTCGTCTTCCTCTTCCTGCTGCCGCGTCGGGTCGGGCTCGCTGTTGGCGGCCATTATGGATTCGCTTCGTCTCGTCGTACAACACGTCACCGCCTTGCGACGCTGAGCCCAGCGTTACCAGAACATGACCGGGATGCGCAGGAAAGAAGAAAATGCAGAAGAAAATGCTAAGGAACAAGAGTAACAATGCAGAGTCAGCTGACAAAGGCACGCGATGTGGTGCCGGTGCGGTGCCTTCATGTCTTCCTTAGCGGAGTATATACTCCGATATTACCGCAGGTGTGCCGTAGATATACAGTTCCAGTTATCCAACTGCAGATTGATATAATAGCATTTTTGCGGTTATTATGATATAAGCTGTTCACTCAAGTAAGCGGTTGTTAATAGTTTGCAGTATATACTAAGCCTACCGCTAATTAGCGTCTATAGTTAAAGTAGGTCTCTATAGTTCGCTTAGCTTCTATAGCAGATATTTATCTCTGCGGCATATATATCTCTGCAGTTTAAACACGCTATACTACTACGAGTAAATAAACGGTATAAAGAGGTCTCTACTACTATAGTTCAATTTACGGTAAAAAGATTGCAATGCGGTTAACGATTAATAAGCTAATTAAGCTTGATTGTAGAAGACTATACTACTGCTAATCTATATCTATACAAAGTGCCTCGACCTATCTACCGATCTACCGATCTATTAATCTACTATTTATCTAGTACGCCGCTTAAAGTTATCGTCGTTCGAAGCCGAAAAGGTCTAAAGCCGAAGGATCGCATAGTGCGGCGCGTAAGTCGTATATCGTATATCGTGGATCGTAGATCGTAGATCGTAGGTAGTAGAAAGTAGTCGTCGAAGCGTATATCGTAAAGAAGAAAGTCGTAGAAGGACGATATATAGAAGGACGATATATAGAAGGGCGGTATATAGAAGGGCGGTATATAGAAGGGCGGTATATAGAAGAGTAAGAGATAGTCGGGTACTAATCAAAAGTTAGTAGCTAATAATAAGTGCTAAATAAAACACGTACCGAGTGCGCGAGAGCGGGCAGAGAAAAGAAGCGCCTTAGATAAAGAGCCTATTATAGTGTTAGCTAAGGTCTACAATATCGAGAAGAAGTCTTACCGGATAGAAGTAGTGCTATAGCTAGAGCCTATAAAGTTTAGTTAGTATACTAGAGCAACACGGAAGATTACGCTATACTTACTTAAGCTGCTGCTAATTAGCGTTAATAGTAGAGCCTATACTAGAGTTAGTCTTCTACGAGCCCCGAGTTGCTACTTAACGAACGCACCTAAAGGAACTAGAGGTCCTAGTCTACGAATAGGACACGCTCGCCGCTCTTAAGCTTAGCTACTTCTTTGCCTCTTATTAGCTTAAGGCTACTGCCGGTAACTAGAAGCGTCTAGATCTTGTTGCCTATTATAGCGTTAATGCTAATAGTAGACTCCTTATTAGTTATCTTATATATAGGGAGCTAAAGGAGTAGATTAAGGCCTCGCTAATTATCGATCTAGGCTAGAGTAACTCGCAAGAATAGCGAGAGACCTTTTATAGTACGATAAGTAAAGATGCGATTAATGCGGCCGATATTGTTTATTCGATAGCGCACAAAGTCACTATAGCGGTAGACTGCACGATGCTAGGTTGGCTTGTCGTTGTATCTAAACCGCTTAAACTAGTAGACCGTATTAGGATTCGACAGTATACACTTCTTACGACTATAGTCGTACGTATATACAGATTGTAGCTAGTCGCGGAAGCTTTGCGATATAGCACTGTTCTTAACTAGAAGCTTAAGGATCTTAGCATAATCTTATAGCATACGCTCTCTAGTATTAATATTAAGGTAGTCGCTATTACTAAGGATATCGTCGAAGCCGTTAAGTTTATTACTATTATTGCTTTGCTTAGATCGTAGAAGCACGCTATCGAACAGCTGCGGGTTATTCTCGAAAAGATCCTGCATTTAGGCAGTTAGCTCTAGCTTGTTAGCAAAGCCATCTTATAGCATAAGACGGATAGTCAGATCAAGGCCGTAACGTTATAGTAGATCACGCTCTACATTCTAATAGTTCGTAAGATAGATCTGCTGCTTCGAGTCCTTATACTTAAACTCTCTAGTAAGAACGTTGCAGTTGCTAGCTATAGTATACTCCCTAATCGTTTTAGTGTAGTGTTAGCTAATATAGACGTTTAGTCGCTTCGCTATATTGCGATACTCCTTCGCGCTAGTAGTCTCCTTTAGCTGCTAAGACTAAGATGCCTAACTTAGCTAGCTTAGCTAGGTACCGGCGACGGGTATTAACTTGCTACGACTACGATAACGAGTGTACGGATTCTTAATGTTTAATTGTATAGCGCACTCTATTAGCTCTTAGAATATGCGCCGTATCGCAAGCATCTCAGTTATATAATTAATGCGCTATTAGAGGGTTATCTTCTTGTATATAAGATACACGTTAGATCGGGCGAGGGATGCGAAGATTCATATAAGTACAGCGGATACTAGGATCCGATTACGAGACTGCTAAGTCTACTGCTAGATAGTATCGAAGACTTAACTAAGAATGTTACCTAGCTGCGCTACTATGTCTCGAACAGCTTTTAAGAACGACTCTTCGATGTGCGTATCCTTAAGCTATACTCGAAAGAGAATAGGTGCAACAATTAACTAGCGAGCGTGCTTAGAAAGGGTGTAGCTTCTAAGGTAGTAAAGTAGTAATTGCAGACAGTGCTAACCTAGGGGCATAGGAAAACTATAGAGAGCCTTGCCGTATTAAAGCTAACTATCGGTAGTAAGGATCTCTAAGAGAAGGACTCCGTAGAACAAGCCTATTATACCTTTCAACTCTAAATAAGCTAGGTCTGCTAGGCGTAAGAGGATAATATCTAAAGCAGGAGAGATCTTTAGCAAAGACGGCTTATCTAGTAGTATGCCGAACTGTCGGCTATATACAGTACGAGCTATAGCTAACATTAGTGCCATATACTAACGAATGCGCTAATTCTTATAATAGAAGCGTATATCCGATATAGCGACGTCTAAGTTACTACGGTCTTCTGCTAGCGTATAGCAATAGCAGCAGCTAACAAGACCTATTAGGCCGACTATGCTAGAGTTTTCTTACTACTATAGATAGTCGCTAGTATATGCTATAGTAAAAGCATATACTATAGTCTTAGTTATCGTTCTATCGGCCTTGCGGATCTCTACAACGTCGCTAGCATCTAGTGCGCGTAGAGTAGGCGAGATAATATCGACGACATCCTCTATATTGCTGCTATAGGGACCTAATATAAAAGGGATAACGTTAGTAGACCGGTTGCGTTCTTATATGCTTAGGCCCGCTAAAGTGAAGTACTAACCTATTAATAAACGGTATATATTGCGATAAAGGCCGAAGCCGTCGAGGAAGATAAGGAACGGCGCTAAGATTACTAGCATTCTAGAGGTCTATAAGTTAAAGGTATCGAGTAGGTACTTACGGCTATAGACTATAATCTTTAGTTCACTACGGATAGGATAGGTTTAGTAGATTAGGCGAATACTGCCGTCGCGCGCAATAGCACGTCGAACGAAGACCTTATACTTGTCTTATAGCAAGGGAGTAGCAGGTATCCGACTCTTGTATACGTAGTGCATTGCGACTATAGAATCGATTAGGCGTATATTAGATTCTAGCAAGAAGTAGAAGGAGTCCTCGACAAAGAAGAGCTTATCTGTAGTAAAGTCTCTAGCTAGCTATACGCGTATATAAGATAGCAGGCTACTATACGCAATAAGTAGCGCGATTTAAAGAACAATAGAGCCTTTGCTGCCTTTGTAATTACCTATAGCCTTGCGGTTCGAAGGCTTACGTTAATCTATCTAAATAGTAACGATACGCCTAGTATAACCTTGCGTATTCTTATAGTTACAGCTTGTATCCTAACAAAAGAAGCGCATAAAATCTAATAGAAAGATAGGTCCGCTAGGCACACTAATAAACTAGCTCTAGTCGACTAGTGGCGATACTATCGGTTTATCTTTAGTCCGAGCGGCCTTCTATCCGCGAGTCGTCTTTAGTACCTTATAAGGTAGCGCCTTTCCGCAAGCTAGTCTAGTAGCGTACGAGGTTCTAGCTAAAGCTAAAGCCGACGGTGTCGATATAGTTAGATATCGTATAAAGCGTCTAGAAGTCGTACGCACAGAGCTTGCCTAAGTACGAGACTCCTAAAGCTCTATAGGGGAGTCGATAAGGAGAGCTATATTAGTATAGAGCGACTTGCTAATATTTAATCTAAGGATGCGGGCAAACAGCTAGTATAGGTTAAAGAAGAAGAGGTTTCGAGGCTTTATATCGCCTAATAGTATAGTAGGCAGTGTCTTCTGCTTCTAGAGCAGGATGCTTTAGTACCGAAGCTTAAGTAATAGAAGCACTAACTTTAGGTGCAGCTTAACGGTATCGACAGACATTAGCAGATTAGAGAGGTTCGTAGTAGCAGGCTCTACGAGTAAAGCGAACATCTTGCGTAAAGAGACGTAGTCGCTGCGAGAGATGCCGACATCTTAAAGCTATAGACCGAAGGCTAGTTCTAGCTTACTAATTGCACTAACTTTGCAGCCTTTCTTCTAATTAAACATAAGGGACTAATCGAGTAGTAAGGGACGTAAAGGTAGCAGTATAAGACCTGCTTGCTAAGTCTACTGCTAGGCTTATTGCTACTTAGGTTCGTAATCTTCGTCCGCCTCGATATATTCTTAGCTAGGCATAGCAGTCGTCGTTTCTTAGGGGTCCGCATCGTCGTCTAGCATTTAGTAAGTAGCTGTCTAAACAACCTCCTCGACGGTAAGCTAATCGAGGTCCTTAATTGCTTGCTATATAGTAACCTAGATATTAAGCTCGTTAGCAGTTATTAGTTCTATCGGATTAGCGGGAGGCTAGTTAGAGTTAGACGGCTCGACTGTCTCGACTACGTCGTCGATACTAGGCAAAGCACTCGAGTCTTCTATAAGAAAGTTATCGCCCGCTAGAGCATCCTTATCGTCGCCTACTAGACTATCCTTATTATCGTAGCGGCGCTTTGTACTAGTAGGCGCGCTCGGGGCTAGTATAGATATAGATGCTACTACTACTGCCGATAATAGTATAGCTGTCGCTATTGTAACTTATTAAGCGCTTGCTAAAGCGGCACCTATAGTTGCTAGTTAAGCTAGTTAAGCTAGTTAAGCTAGTTAAGCTAGTTAAGCTAGTTAAGCTAGTTAAGCTAGTTAAGCTAGTTAAGCTAGTTAACGGCCTATACGACGCAGAGCGCCTAGCGGCAAAAACGAGAAGCGCGCTATTAAGATAGATATTGTTCGTATAGTATGCAGTCGTATGCAGCCGTATCTAGTCGCATTTAGGTTGTGTAGCGACTAGAAGTGCAAAAGTATAGTAGGCGGAAGGTGTCTTTATAGGCGGTAGTCGCGAGAAGGAGGCAGGCGCGACTTGCGGGTCCGTACGCGTTACAGAGCAAACACGTACATACACGCTTCTATCGATAAATAGTAAATGAAGCTATAAGAGGCCTAGGGTATATAGATGTCAATATTATATCGTTTATCTAGGTATTAAAAAGCTAAAAAAAAAACGTAGCAGATCTAAGCGAGCGAGCGAGCGAGAGAGAGAGCCGGTAAAAAAAAACGACTATAGAATAGCACACAAAAAGGCCCTTACGCCTTTAGTAGCAGAAGCGTTATTAGGCGCTTTTTAGCACGCGCTAGGCTAGACAGATCCTTTCTCTATATATATATATTAGCATCTTTAACACTTAACAACTAACAAGTTAATAATTATTACCTTGCGACCTTTATCGCTAGCGCCGGTCTTCTGCGGCAAGATATCCTTAAAGTCCGAGTAGATAATAGGGTCTATATCTTCGTCTATGCTATATACTATTAGCTAATCTATCCCGCAAAGCTGCAAACAAATATGCCGAATTGAATGAATGAATAAATAGATAAATAATGCATTAATCGGGTAGCTCGAGATATTAAGAAAAGCTAAAAAGCTAAGCTAAAATGCTGAAATGCTAAGATGTTAAGATGCTAAGATGCTAAGATACTAAGATGCTAAGATGCTAAGATGTTGAGATGTCGAGAGATACTAAGGTATTAAGAGATGCCAAAGGGCTAAGATGCTAAAGGGCTAGCTAGATAGGAGATTAAATGAAATGCTCGTAATCGATATGTCTTGTTAGATAACAGCCTAAGCTTATAGTAATCTGTTAAAGATCAACTTACGGGTAGCTATCGTATATAGCTACGAGAGCCGTATTAGCGTTCTCGTCTCGCTTGCCTATATATATATAATTAGCATTGCTTATAAATTGCTAGGAACAGCAGCAGCAGCAGCTGCCGCCGCAAAAGCATTATTAACACTATACCGAGTTTCTTATTAGCTCGGAGAGCTATCGCAGTCTCCGAGTATAGGGAGCGATACTACCCTACGATCTAATTAGTATATGCTATCTACGGAAGCGGCGAAGGTTCGGAGGTTCGGAGGTCTAGAGGTTTAAAGGTTCAAAGCTTATATTAAATAATGCTTTACTAGCTAGACATCGGCTATGTATGCAATATTAAATAACATACACTAGCAGAAAGTTTGGCCCTACTAGGCGGACTTGTCGTAGTCTAAACGACCTTTTATATAAAAAAAACTGCAGATCGTTAGTATTACTGAACCTACTAATCTTAACGAGATATAGGAGAAAGTAAAGTTAAGAGAGCTAGATGTCAACCTATACGATAAAGAACTCGTCTTCGCTAAAGCGGTTCTCGAAGAACTCGAGAGTCTCTTTATTATTTATAGCTAAAAGGCCGGAGTCTTCTTCCTCTATAATAGAGCCGACGTATTTCTATAATATTGTTAGTATAGCACTAAATCTGTAGCACTAAATCTAAAGCGAACATCTGTAGCAAAACATTATACCGCTAGCACACTAAAGAGCACTTAAGCGAAGTGTAGCATATTTAGATATGTAAAAGTTTTGCTAAAGGAAAAGCTAGAGCATCGCTGTTAGAGCAAAAAAGTATAGCATAATACAGCTTTAGAGGAGAAGAGCAGAGTGCTAAAGATTAAAAAAAAGGGTAGGCGGGCAGTATAGTATTAGGGATCTCAACTTACGCGGCAGCGCTTAATAGTATTAGACTTAACTGACCGGAGGTCTAGCGCTCTCTTTCTTGCCTAGGAAAACAGTATCTTGTTCGTCTCTTTAATATTATTGCTATATATCTCTTTAATAATATAGTCCTTCTACTTATAACTGCCTGTCTCGAAATGCATCTATTTAAACTTATAGTCTAACAAATCACGCTGCTCTGTCTCTTGCTCGAATGCTAAAGCTTAAGTCGTATCGCAAGCAGGCAAAGATTTTTGCTTTAAACGCATAGTTAGATTCTAAGATAGCTATCTCAAATGTGCACGCATCTATTTACTCGTTAGCATAATTCTACCGCTGCACTACGCTGCCCGCCGCCCTATAATAAAAGGCTGCCGAATTGTTAAGTAAATAAATAGCTAATTAGGACCGATAGACATAGTCGTATAGAAGACCTAGAATGTTGAATATTTAGGATAGATTATTCGGGATGGATTTCTATACCGGAGTATCTAGCGGCGGGCGCTACGGAGGGATTTCGGCTATCTCGACGCGCGCGGGAAAAGGAAGATCAATTTATATAGCTATATTATAGTACGAAATCTATAAGCGCCCGAGAGACTTAATAGTAGTAGTAGTAGAGAAATATTTAGAAGCGTAAAAGCTAATTAGCTAAAGTCGGAGGTGCTAGTATCCACTCCGCAACCGCTTAGCATACAGTATAATTAGCTTCTATAGTAGAAGTAGGTCTCTACGGTTTATAAAGCTCTATAGCAGACGACGGTATATAGTATAGTATTAATAAATAGCATAATATCTATATACTATATATATACGGTTGCCGATAGCGTATACAGTTGATATTGATATCTACAGCTGACTACAAGATTACGGCGACCCTGCAGCAATTTCAGACCCTATACTTACGCTAAGGTTCGTTCCTTCCCGTCACCCGTCACGGGAGGCTCGCTTGCGGTCTTGGCGCTTTGCCCCGCGGGCGCCGGGGGATCGGCGAACATGGCCCTTGCATTTTGGAGCAGTGCGAGAGCTCTGACTGTGAGAGCTGTGCCATGCCAGGCAATTTTTTTCTCTCCTCTCATTACATTAGCACAGCCTCACAGTGCCTCCAAATCCCCAATGCCTCCCTCCACGCTCTGTCGACCCGCTGTCCTGCGAACACTCACGAATGCTTGCCTAACCCCAAAGCGATTCGCGAGCAGTGCTCCCTCTGCCTCCCAGCCAGCTCAATCACCTTGCGCACCACGACATCTACTCTCTATATCCGACCTCCTTCCTTCAGAGCTCACCACCCTCGTCCGAAATGCCTCCAAATACAAGACGGCCGTCAAGTCCCACGCCGTCCCCCCACACCTTCAAGCCCGACTTATGGCTCAGACAGTCGCCATCATGTTCACCAAGCGAAGCACCCGCACAAGAGTCTCTACGGAGGGGGCTATAGCGATGATGGGTGGCAACCCGATGTTCTTGGGAAGCCAAGATATTCAACTTGGTGTAAACGAGTCATTATACGACACAAGTGTGGTTATCAGCAGCATGGTCTCAGCCATCGTCGCACGAGTCAATGCCCACGATGATGTTGCAACCATGGCCAAGCACAGCAGCAAGCCAGTCATCAATGCACTATCGGACCTGTACCACCCTCTGCAGAGTATTGCCGACTTTCAAACACTCCTCGAGGCTTTCCCAAGCTCAGAGAGTGCCGGTGCAGAGAGCTTAGGTCTTGAAGGACTCAAGATTGCATGGGTCGGTGACGCAAACAACGTACTGTTCGATCTTGCTATCGGTGCTGCCAAGCTTGGTGTCGAGGTCGCTGTGGCCACGCCCAAAGGATACGAGATTCCTGACTTCATGAGAAATATCATCAAGTCAACAAGCCCGAACTTCAAACTCACCGAGACCCATGAACCAGCTGAAGCTGTCAAGAATGCCGACGTGCTGGTGACAGATACCTGGGTCAGCATGGGTCAAGAAGCCGAGGCGAAGAAGAGGCTGCAAGATTTTGCAGGCTTCCAGATCACGAAAGAGCTTGCACAGAGAGGTGGAGCGAAAGAGAGCTGGAAGTTCATGCATTGTCTACCACGACACCCTGAAGAGGTACGTCCGACTTAGGTCACGAAGTATTCCTCAAACCTTGAGCCTGATGCTCGTGCGTGATTTTGGATCATATCGCAACTTTGCTCACTGAGAGGTCCAGGTCGCCGATGAAGTCTTCTACTCGCCTGCCAGCCTCGTCTTCCAAGAAGCAGAGAATCGTCTCTGGGCCGCAGTCGCCGCGTTGGAGGCTTTCGTCGTCAACAAAGGCGAGGTCATCCCGGCAGAGATCTCAGAGCAAATACATGCAGGACGAGTCAAGGCCATGATGGAGAAGCTCACCGGAAAATCGTCATGATCTCTGACATCTAGGCGGGCTCTCATCTAAATCTACGAAACCAGCAATCAACCGCCATAATGTTGCTACACAAAGTCGGACGCACTCTGTGGCCTGGCTCCAGCACGGCTTCTCGGGTAAGCCGGTGGCAAGCACCAAGAGCTGCCCTGACCAGAGTTGCGCAAAGATGGCGCTCACCTCTCCGCGACCAGCTCAATAGCCACAAGTGCGGCCGATGAATGATACCTAGAAATGCCCAGATGCCGTCACCTAGTCCTTTGCTGGCATCGACCTTCATCATGTCGAACTCAGGGTGAGGATGCTTGGTGTGAACGAAAGTTCAGCCTCAGCCATGTTGGAACCCTTCGGCCGAAGAGGGGAATGACCGTAATGGTCAGAACAACCAGGTAACTATAAAGGTTACAGAATGGCGGGCATTCAAGACTTTCGCTGCTGATGCTGAAATCGTTCGTCGTTAATCACAAATGCAGACCCAATCCCTGCTTCAGCAAGCAGAATTTTGATCACCAAATGCAGCCTTACAAGGCTACGCTATCTCGTGAGTGTGACAACTGTACCATACAGTTGGTACGCTATCGATCCCGCGTCTATTTGCTTGACCTTGAAGTTCGATCATCGCGTTCACGAAAAGAAATTCCTGCATCAAGTCACAACTATTCCTTCTCGACCGAGGCGCCCACAAGTGTTTGTCGTCCTGTCTTTGAGACGACATGCGAATGAAATACAGTATCACTCAATAAGTCGGTTCGCTCGGATTGCGCTGTGTTTTCGGTTCGCTTTTGTCACCTGACCGCATGGCGCATTCTCGGGCTTGGACTCAAGGACAGGCCTATCAACGAGAGAGTTCTGAGCTTCTCCTCAAAAGCCAGGCAACACCCATGTCCCTTAGCTGCAGAGGGGTAGCACGCGCACGCCTGCAAAGACTACGACGCTGACGACCAGAATTATTAGAGGTGGTCCGATTCCGCTTCTTTCAGAACCTCAGCGGCGATACAGGAGCTTGTAAGTGTTCATCAGCTCCTCATGCTAGACGACGAATGTCGCTCGACTCCAAAGCCAACCCTGCAGGATGACCGGCGTCTCCAAGTCTACGTATCTGGATAATTTATGCAACTTTCTGGATACCTTTTCGTCCCGACCTCTGCCGGCCACCTTGTACCGCATCCAACATTCGGGTTCGCGAGCTTACTTGGATGGCGGGAACCTGAAGGCGCGGTCGAATTTGGTACCTGAAAACGTGCAAGAGCTCTGTTTCGCTGTCGCAGAGCATTTGAAGTGGTTTCGGTCGAGAGTAGACAGCTGCTTCATATCAGTATGGGACGATCCATGGTGCGCTCATTCGTGGGGAGAGATCCGGGCGAGGCAAAGGGAGCCCGGTGGAAGTGATGTCGTCCTGTACGAGATTGACACCAAGTTCTTGGGCAAAGGGCTCGCCAGTATGGTCTTTCATGTCGATTCTCTACTTACATCGCTTGGATTGAATCGGCCGACATTACTGAAAGGGCAGGAATATCTCATCCTGCTCGGCGTACCCGCAAAGGCTATCAAATACTCCCATAACATCTCGGAGCCGGCTCTTGGAGGTAAGAACATGGCCATCTCTGCAAAGACTCTTGCTAAAGCTTCCAACAGCTGGCATACTGAAGCAAATTGACCTCGAGGCGTGCCAACATAGACCATCTCACGATTCAACACATCGGCAAATCTGCTTGACATGTGCTAGCGAAACAGCTTTGGATCGACATCTGCAATCACGCAGAGTAGCGTTTATGGGCCTCAATGGACACGCAAACGGTCAAGTCAACGGGCCCATGAATGGTCACACAAATGGCATCGTTCATCTGGATGGCTATACCAACGGACACACCAACGGACTCTCAAATGGTATCACGAACGGTCATACTAATGGCTCAGCGAACGGCCAAATGAATGGGAACGGCCTCAATGGCATCGAGAATGGCCACGTCAATGTGAACGGCAATGGTCAAACAGCCACGCCCTCCAATTCATCATCAGATTCGAGAGGCAGCTACGTACCCGGTGGATTTCTCCAGATCCCTCATTGCGATCCGGAGAACGGATGGCATCCTATTGGATGAACAAAGGGATGACTAGGAAGGCAGACGACGAATGATGATCGACATTACGTTTTTCACATGCGATGATGATGGCGAAAACCTGAAAAAAAAAATGCATGAAGTGAAATGGAACAGCGAGATCAAAAACGAGCGAGGGATGCTACGGCATAACAGTGCGAGGCCGAGGCGAAAAAGCGAGAAATGATTACCATTCCCCCAAAAAGTCTGATATACCAATACTCGGGGTTTTTTGTTCTCTCTCACTCTTTGTATACTAATACCAACAGCCTTTTACTGTACTACGGAGGGAGCGGGAATTTGTGAGATGCAATGTAAAACTTCTTATTGTCTACTTCTCTTCCAACGAGCCTAGACCCAGCCATCAGCGCCGGTACGTCGGAACAAGGCAGAAATTGCCATGGTTCAGGCTTTATGACTCTCACATGCTTGATCCTAGCTCCATCACCAATCGAATCAGACGGACGTGACGGATTCTTGGGGCCGAATCGAGCCTTGATCCTGATGACGCCGAGGCGCAATGCTTTTCTCGGCATGCTCACCTTTTAACTTGGCACTGTGTTGAAAGAGGCGATGCACGAGGTTTGGATATGACGAAGGCTGGGAGTAACTATCACATGCCAAAATCATCCATCCATACGTCCAGAGTATGTATCCTGCTGCTAGTACTAAAAAATCGCCAAAGCATTCGGCGGACTGCCAATGCCCCCCGGAACATTCAACGGCACACTCGTCAACAAAAACGAATACCGACCCAACCTCTCCGCCGTCTCCGACAGCGCTTTCAAATCCCAAAGTTCCCCAATCGACATCCCAAACAATCCCAAAAAATATTGATGCAAAACTAATTCGGAAACGTCACCTTCTTTGCCGTTGACTATTGGAGGAATGTGTTCGAAAGCGATCATGTCGCCTGCCACGGCGCTGAAGTGTTTGTTCCAGAACCATTTTGCCGTTTCTACGTCCCCCGTGACGCCGGCGACGCGGTGGGAGGACATTAATTTGGCTTGGGCTTCGCCGGAGATGTTGGAGAGGGCTTCGGTGAAGCCGGAGCGGATTATGATTACATCGCCGGGTTTGAATTCGACGTTTTGTTTTTTTGCTACAGTTTCGATGTCTTGGACTGTGATCTTGTCGTCGGTGAAAGGGTTGAAAGGACGGCCGGTTTCTTCGGCGAATTTTTTGAAATCGATGAAGACGCCGCGGGCGACCATGCCGCCGCGTTTGTGCCAGTGGTTTAGGGTGGGGAGTTTTTGGTCGTGGTCTTCGTTTCCGTGCTGTTGGGTGAGTTCGTCGACGGAGGTTTTGGTGAAGTTGTAGCCGGATTGGCTGGCTTGGTGGTGGAAGTGCACTAAGGAGTCCCATTGGGATGAGCATTGGGTGTTGAATTCGACTTCGTCGTCGTAGCCGTGGCAGGCTAGTGGAGTGTCGACGAAGCTGACGACTTTGTGGACTAGTCCTTTACGACCGAAGCCTGGGGTTTTGATTGCTCCGATGGGCCAGTTGAGGGAGACGTGAACGCCTTCCTTGGCTTCGGCATAGGCGGCTTTGATGACTTCTGGTGTGAGGAGGTTGAGAGTGCCGTAGACGTCTTTCTTGCCATCCTTGTCCCACAGGCCCCAGGCACACCCTGATTGTCGTCAGCAAAGTATTGGTAATCATGATGGAGATGCGGTACGAAGTCATACCTTGCGGCATGCCCTCTACCTTGGGCAAGTCATCGAAGTCTGGAATGTTAGACATACTCAAACTATCTTGCGGAACAGGTTGTGGTCACGATTAGGCTCTTCGAACACAAAGTCAAGGATGCCTGGTACTTGGAGGAGGATGGAAATACCTCCGCTTCTGTACGAAACGAAGAGTAGTTGTTTACTTTATTGCTCGAGCTCTTCCTTCTGCCGCTTAGGCTCATGGTTCTGGGCGGGCACGCGGGGTATGTGGCATTGTGACGAACAACCCGAGCTCGGTAGAAAGGCGGAGACTCTAATGCGAGTAGCTCTGTCGAGTCGCGTTGGTTTCGTGTTCGTCGTGGTCATGCTGATGGGTATAAGGACGCACTGTTGATATGTTTATACAGGATACATATAGGGCAGTGATGACCTTGATGGAGGCCGTTACAGGAACCACGCGAGGCATGTCGTCTTCGAACCTTAACTAGGTGTCTGTATTCTGGCAACGCGCTAATTCTCGGGTAGCCCATTCCGTAGAGATCCACAATTAAATAACGTTTTATATGCCCCGCTAAGACTATGAAATTCGTATGCATTCGCGTTATAATTTTAGGAATTTCGAAATTACTACTACCTCGTTACCTCTATTATCGCTATAATAGAGGATCTACTAGTTATCGCTATACCTAACGGTAATAGCGATACGCTTAGCAATCTTAGCGTCCTTCGCGATAGGCTCTTCCTTATCGATAAGGATATACCGCTATCCTATACTAAATAGATTGTTACTATTAAACTAATATCTAATATATATAGCTATACTCGTATAATAATCCCTAAAGCAGACTATAATAGTAGTATCGTTTCTAGGTCCTATTATAAGTATATTAAGGCTAAGCGGATAGAAGCGGCGGAAGCAAAGAAGAAGAAGGTCGAGGATACTATTTCTAGTTGCCTAAAGCTAGAATATACGCCCTTCGAGCCTTATAGGCTTAATCTTACTATATTATAGTACTACGATACTATTAATAGTAAGCCTACGAAGGTTCTTGTCTAGCGTACCGATTATCGATAAAAACATACCTATACCTTATAGTATAGCGACGCTCGGCGGACTAACGTATACCTAAAAGAGATAGGTTAAAAGAAGCTAGATAGATTACTACGGGTTAGTCGTACGAGAGACTTTTTAAAAGATAACTACAGCAACATTAGTAGCTACGCTATTTAGTATTAGACGTTATATAACCTAGTAAGAAGCTTACTATACTACAATCGAGATAAGCGCTATATTATCCCTAGTAAAAGCGCTATTCTACGGCAAATTAAAGAGGCGAGAGAGCGTGCGATTAAGCGTAGTTGTTATTACTAGGTCTTCTAGGTATAGACGTCTAAAGGCCTTAAATAGGGCATTACACATACTACTAAGAAGGGCATTAAGCTACTTAAGAGGTATAGCGAGTTCTTATCGTATATAAGAAAATAGGTATATAGCAACGTATAGAACACCCTCTACTAATCGCCGTAGTAGAAAGTAGAACTAAACCGTGCCTTTTTTAGGGTAGGGCAGAGCGTTTACTATTAACTAGGCTACGTACGGATAGTATATATGCCGAGCCGGTAACCGAGTATGTCCGTACGAGCGACCGAGCTTTTCTACGTATACGCTAAGCAGGCTTTGCGCTAGCGAGACAGCACCGTAGTATACGTAATAATATTACATAATTGTTATATAGGCTTGCTAAGGCATAATAGGAGACTTTACTTACTTAGGTTCTTACAACTATCTCCTTCCCCTAGTATAGCTATACTAGCTATAGGGCAATATAGTAAATTATACTATTTCTTATACTCTGCGCTACACTTACGCGTCTTGTGCGCACTTATCGCTAGGCTGTAGTTGCTAGGCACGTTATAATTTGCCTCGTAGTTGCTTGTTTGTCTATAGACCTAAAGCGTAGCTGCTTCTAGTGCTAGCTAGAGGTTGCCTAAATTTCTAAGAACGCGGTAGCTACGCGAGAACGCAAGCTATCCGAAAGCGAGGCGAGTATTTAAAGCATTCGAAGCCCGCTTAAAAACTTCTTCTTTTTCTAAGCGCTCCGAATACTATATACCTACGCCCTGCCTGCTTTGCCCTCGCGCCCCCCTAGTATTACTTAAAGATTCTTCTTTTTTAAATATCTATCTAAAAAAACATTACTAGTATATCTACCCCTTCGCGTACCTTAGGTAAGCGCGCCGTAGGCGTACCGCCCTCGATATCTACTACGCCTACCTAGCGCCTACTAAAAGTCCTAGAAGGCTATACTCGTTACTTTAGGTATATAATAGCTAATAGTATGTTTTCTCGCCCCTTACTATATATACGCGCTTTGTAACTAACTCGCTTTAGATAACCTATCTAAGCTCTACGTAGGCGGTAATATAGACCCTACTACTAAGCGCAACTATAATCGCTGCTATAGCAGCTATTATACCTATACTCCTATTATAGCACGCGCGCTCGTAGCGCTACTAGCGCGTATTCGCGCTATACGCGCTATGCGCGACCTTTACGATCTAGACAGCTACGACTCCGTCGAGGAGTCTAACGAGGCCTTAGAGGCTCTCTAGGCTAACCTAGACGCCGTAGTCGCACGTAGGTTTCTTATACGCTCTGCTTACGCTTCGTATACTAACCTCGATATTAGTTATTCTGTCTACGCTCGATGCCTTCTATATTAACAAGAATAAGGTAACTCTAGGCGGCAAAGCCCTAGCCCGCAAGGGGGCCGCTAGCGGGTCCCTTACGGACGTTAACCTCCTTAGTACCCTCGAAAATATTAGCACTAACTTAGCCGGCTTAGTAGAGATCGGTCGTTAGGTATAGTTTTTCCTATAGCCTCGTTTTACTTACGCTTCGTATACTAACTGCACTAGAACCTCGCTTAGCGCGTCGGCGCTAACGCCGTCGCTACTATCGATACCGCTATAGGTATCGAGGCCGAGGAGGACGAGAAGGAGTCTAAGGATAAGTAGAGTAGGCGGCCCGCCGTCGCCGCGCCTATGCGGCGCCTTCTTTATATATACTAGGCTAATAGGCCTTTTTTTAGTAGCGAAACGAGTACGTGTCTACTATTTTTCTTAAGTTTCATTTTCTTTTGTTTTAATTACTACCTACGCTTACGCTTCGCTTAAGCTTCGAACTCGTCTAACGCTATAGAATCTTTAATATAAACAGCTAGCTCCTAAGTGTTGTATTCTTTAGGCTAACCTCGCTACTTAATAAGGTAGTACGCCTTCTGCTTCTTTATCTTCTTTGCTACGATTGTTTCTACCTACTGCTTATCGCCTTTAGCGACGGGCATACTTATCTTATACTCCTCGCTATCGCGCCTATACTAAGGCTCGAGGAGGGAAATATAGAAAACATTGTAGATCTTCGTGCTTAACGGTAGTGCTAGGCGGTACGCCTACGCTCTAACTACGTTAATAATATAGAAAGGCCCTATATACTTTAGGCTAAGTTTCTTCTTTAGGATATCTAAGCTAATATTCTTTATCGATAGTAAGACTAAGTTACCTATACTATATATCTTAGTAGTATAGTATGTATTGTATTGCTTAGCCTAGTATTCTGCTGCTTTCTACTAGCATTCCGTAAGCATTTTATATACTTGTCGTAGTCGCTCCGTAGCGTTAATAGCTGCTAGTGCCCTTCCCTTAGTTAGCTCGTCCCGAGCTAGCAGCTTATTTGCGCTTAGTATCAAATTAGGGTTAAAGCCGTAGAGCATCTTAAAGGGGCTTATACGCAACGTAGGATAAACGCTATTATTGTAGGCAAACTCCGCCTAAGGCAATAGTTTAGCCTACTTATCCTAATTCTTAGAGTAATAGTATCGTAGGTATTGCTCGAGGGTCTAGTTCGCGCGTTCGGTTTGCCTATTAGTCTAAGGATAGAAGGCTATACTAAGCCTACGCTTTATATACGCTTCGAAGTAGAAGTCGCTCTAAAACTAGCTAGTAAAAAGCGATCTACGATCGCTAATAATGCCCGATAGCACTCTAAAACGCCTAATTACCTCCCTTTAAAGGATATCCGCGAGTTCTACTGCTATACACTTCTTCGTCGTTAGGATAAAGAGGCTTATTTTCGTATAGCGGTCGACTATTACGAGGATCGTAGTATATACGTAGGTACCGAGCTTACTCGGCGGGAGATTAGTAATAAAGTCTATCGTTAATTCTTGCTATAGTCGGGTTAGTATAGGCAGCGTAGCGAGCTCGCTATATAGGCGATAGCGCTTCGCCTTCGACTATTAACAAATTCTATAGGTACGGATATAGGCCGTAATATCCTCGGCTATCTTTAGCTAGAAGTACTTTCGGCATATTAGGTCTATAGTCTTAGCTATACTAAAGTGTCTAGCTAAAGGGTCGTCGTAGCATATACGTATTAGTTACGTACGTAAGGCGTAGTCCTTAGGGATATATAGCGTATCGCCGTAGTAAATAAGGTTACTACGACGAGAATAGCTAGGCGGGAGATTAGAACTACTTAACGAGACTAAGCTACCCGACGGTAAGCTTGTCTCGTATAAGCCTCCTCCTCTTGCTTACTCTAGCTGTTATAGAGTATATACGAAACTAAGGATTATATTAGGTATCTTATAGTAGAGCCTATTATTCCTAACGATAGTAGCCGCTACTCTTACGGGACTGCTAATAAAACTCTTACGTTCCGCTAGCGCTATACTAGCGTCTCGTATCCCTATATATATAATAGAGATACGTTTTATAATCGGCTCGATATCCTCGGGCAGATTTAACTATAGAGCTAGTTTCGACTATAATATAGGAAGAAGGTTGTTCGCCGCCTATAACTTGCTTTTGTAGTCGCTATATCGCGAAGGTATATTAGCTAGATTTCGTTTACTAGCCCGATATTTAATAGTAAAGTTAAAAGGTATAAGGAAGGTCGCCTATCTTACCTACCTTCCGACGAGCTACTTTATCTTTATAAAGCCCTTAAGATTAGCATAGTCGATAACTACGCGGATCGTATACTAGGCGCTATCGAGGTACAGGCGCTAATACTTAAAGGACTCGACAACCGCTAAGAGCTCCTAATTATAGGTTTT